ACACTGAATCTCCCTCTAACTACAATCATGATCATCTTCCTCATTCTCCTCACCATTTTTAAATCATAGTTTACTTTTCAGTTTTGCATTAACAGCTTTGTAGCATGATTTAGAAAGTCATTTTCCTCCTCTAAGGGAGAATAGAGTAATATTCACAGCAGGACTTGGAAATTCTGTCTGGAAAGATGTTATACTAAAAGTCACTGGAGCAAATCAAACACTCTTTGGCACTCCACCCCTTCATCTTCCATCTTCAGAGTTGTTCTAGCTGCAAAGAACGCTTGATCTTCATTCTCCAGAAATATTCATTTCATACTATGTGCCATTATTTCAAGTAAAAAAAAAACTTTCAGCAGTTCCCAAATTTTACCTGGATTTAAAAAAGGAAAGCTCTTCTTACAACTCATTGATAAATTATGAGTGATGAAGAATACCTTATTATAGCACTTCCTACATTTATTTTGAGGAGCACAATTTCATTGAGAAAAGCCATGAAATCAGTCAAGGAAACCGTCCCTTCTCCATCTCTTTGATGAAACACAACCACTGGTAGGATGGTAAATGCTTGATGCTTGACTTCTGGGAGAAAAGCCTTCATGTATAAGGTCTTCCTATGTTTGTCACATAAATACTCTTATGATGGCTGGCTTCAAGTGGCCAATGGGACATCACCAACCACAGACTTGGAAATAGATGCACAGTAGTCCCACAATACAGAATGTCTATTCTATAAATACATTATGCATAAATAACCTCAACAGCATAGATAACAGTTTATAAGGTAATATTAGTAATGGTGAATTTTGAGTATTTATTACCTTTACTTATAGTATAATTAATTATAAGCTTATAATTTAATTTTTAGTAATTATCATGCTTAACAACTGGATCTCACAGTTCCTATACATTTTCCAACCAGCTCTCCAGTCAATAGGAGCTGACTCTACACTTCCCAAGAAAGATGTCTCTCAGGTCAGATATTCCCAAGCTGTGACTCCTGCCACATGTAAGGAATGAACTGCAGCTCATTCTCGGATCAAATATCCTAGAAAAATGCTGTAACTGGTCTCCACAGTTCTGTTGTCCACTCTGATGCTATTAACCTTGTCCCAAGAGGTAGACATGGATACAGACTCCTGCTGGAAGAGAAATTTTTAGAAAAGTGGCTTATCAGTAGAGTATTATCCCTTCCAGAAGGTACTGCAATGTCAGTTGTATCCATGACTCTCTCCTCCAACCAATTTTTAAAAATATTTATTTATTTGAAAGTCAGAATTACACACAGAGAGAAGGAGAAGTAGAGAGAGAGAGAAAGGTCCTCCATCCACTGGTTCACTCCCCAGTTGGCCACAACAGCTGAAGCTACCCTGATCCAGAGCCAGGAGCCAGGTGCTTCTTCCTGGTCTCCCATGCAGGTGCAGGGGCCCAAGGACTCGGGCCATCCTCCACCGCTTTCCTAGGCCATAGCAGTGAGCTGGATCAGAAGTGAAGCAGCTGGGACTCAGTGATGGATGCCAGCACTGTAGGCAGCAGCTTTACCTGCTATGCCACAGTGCTGGCCCCCAACCAATTTTAAATATGCAATCCCTATGATAAAGCCCAGACAAAAAAACGATTTCCTTTTTTTTTTTTTTTTAATAACAGGGTCTTCCACAGACAGTAGAAAGAAGCTGGATTTGATAATGGCCATCTATTATGGTGGTTTAATTCTTTTTTTGCTTGCAAATCCTTTGAGGAATTTTAAAAATCCTAGCAATTTTTAGGTAGCTAGCCCTAAGTTTTCACTGTAAATTTTGACAATTTCAAGGATGCAGTTTCTGGTAGGCCATAAACACTGGGACTTTGTACAAAAAAGATGTAACACTCGTTTAAATGTATCTCATGTATTGAAACACCAAACCTGTTAATTGTCATCATCAGTAATCTAATAAATGTACAAGTCCTTTTATCATTTCTTTTCTCCTTGAATTCAAATTTCTATTCTTTACATTTTCCCTAATGAAATATATACTTGAAAGTCTTATTTACATATCTATATTGTCCTATAACACACATACATATAACTATACATGTCATATATGTATACACCTATATGAAGGTACTTCAAAAAAGTTTATTGGGGCTGGCACTGTGGCATAGTAGGCTAAGCCTACACCTGCAGCGCCAGCATCCCGAATTGGTGCTGGTTCATGTCCTAGCTGTTCCTCTTCTGATCCAGCTCTCTGTTTATGGCCTGGGAAGGCTGTGGAAGATGGCCCAAGTGCAGGGGTCCCTGCATCCACATGGGAGACCCTGAAGAAGCTCTTGGCTCCTGGCTCCTGGCTTCAGATTGGTTCAGCTCTGGCCATTGAAGCCATGTGGAGAGTGAACCAGCAGATGGAAGACCTCTCTCTCTCTGTCGCTGCCTCTCTCTGTCTGCAACTCTGCCTCTCAAACACATGAATAAAATCTTAAAAAAAATATGGAAAAATGGAATTAAAATATAACTTTAATTTTGTGCCAAAAAATTTCACATCCATGCAGGATTCAAGGTATTCAAAAGTTCCTGGAAACAGGCATTATGAAGAAGTATGCATATACCCCAAAAAAGTTTTGTACCAAAATAATTTTATCTTTTAATTCCTTCTTCTTTGCACAGACTTTTAAAGCACCCCCATGTCTATGTAATTTCCTGTGATTACAAGGCTCTAGGCGATCTTGTGCCCTGGACTGAGTTATCCTTACAATCATTAACAACGACAAAATGAAATTCAGCTCTGCCAGAAGCCCAGATCACTGCAGCAGCAAACCACCCCAAAGTGACCACTGCTTTCTTTTTGATGACACCCCAGCCCCACTTCCTTCCTGTAGCCCTTCCACCTTGTCAACAGCTTGTCGAAGAACCCAATTGCTGCCAGCGCCGCGGCTCACTAGGCTAATCCTCCGCCTTGTGGCGCCGGCACACCGGGTTCTAGTCCCGGTTGGGGCGCCGGATTCTTTCCCAGTTGCCCCTCTTCCAGGCCAGCTCTCTGCTGTGGCCAGGGAGTGCAGTGGAGGATGCCCCAAGGACTTGGGCCCTGCACCCCATGGGAGACCAGGATAAGTACCTGGCGCCTGCCATCGGATCAGCGCGGTGCGCCGTCCACAGCGTGCTGGCCGCGGCGGCCATTGGAGGGTGAACCAACGGCAAAGGAAGACCTGTCTCTCTGTCTCTCTCTTTCACTGTCCACTCTGCCTGTCAAAAAAAAAACAAAAAACAAAACAAAACAAAAAAAACCACTTGCTGAGCTGTCTCAGTTTCTTGACATTATGCAATCCACAACTAGTCCTGCTTTCCTTGGCTTTTCCTTACAATCTCCTAGTACAAGCCCAACTCATAGAATAAACCCTCTTTTACCAAGATGTACCATGGCTTGTTTGATGTGTGCTGTCCTCCGATGGAGCAAGCTAAATAAATCTGTTTGATTTGATGTCTCCTCTTGGCGGCCTTTGGCTGGTGGTTTCAACAACAGTACACACTTGACCAACACAGCATAAACACATCACAATGTTTTTAACAAGTGAATACGTGTTGGAAATTCATCTCTTAATAACAAAGGCAGCAGCTCTCCCTCCACATTAGCCCATGTACCCATAGACAATTAGTTATTGCTAGAATGATTTACTGCTCATTGTTAGTTGCACTGTTATATGAGTGTGCTTTTCAATGTCAGATAATTCTTATAACTTCTTATGAATTATATGCAAAAATTCCATTGCCCCATCATCAAAAATCACTTTGAATGGTTAGCTGAAAGTTGGATTTGGTTCCAATTTTGTTGACAGACATTGGAAAATGATTTGCAAAAAGTTTGTTATGAAGACATTATTCACTTGGTAACAAAACGCTGCAGAGGTTTTCACATGCAGGTATGTGTACTGAGAATTACGCATCTCCTTTATAAAAAGACTATGTTGGCGCAGTGCAGCGCAAATACACGGGTTCTCAGCAAGTGTAACTTAGGAGAGTACATACAGGGGCCACTCTTTGGTGAAGCATCTAAGTAACTGGCTGCGATGCCCAAGTTCCATCTTGGAGTGCCTGAGTTTGAGACCTGGATCCACTCCTGATTCCAGCTTCTGCTAATGCTCATCTTAGGAGGCAGCAGGCCGTGGCTCTGGTACCTGATCCCACCCATCCATGCAGAACTGGATGGAGTTCCAGCCTCCTGGCTTCAACCTGGCCCAGCCCTGAGTGTTGTGGGCATTTTCAGAGTGAAATACATAAATAAATACAGCTTTTTAAGAAAAAATCCATATAGAAGCTGACAGTCTGGAAATTTAATTGCTTCCGCTTAATCTCTGGAAAGTCTTTTTGAACTCTAAGGCAAGGATGGTAATGTCTTTGAGCAGGTGACCAACCCTAACAGGAGGAAATTAAATGAGCTGTTTCCAGATGGAGCCAGACCCATCCCAAGTGGACCACCCACTCCAAGTTCATAGTGGAGGCTTCCTCCCGGTAGAGAGATTAATGAATATCCCGCAAGCTGCCCTAGCTGTGCTATTGCGCCTTTCGAAACATCCTTTTCTGGATAGTTCTTTATGGGCCAATGCATTTCACCAGGTTCTCTCAAGGCCCTGCCGCCTGAGACCAATCGTTTGATTTCTGCTTACCCGTGTGCTTATCATTAACGCGTACATTTTACAGTTCATCTCTCAAGAGACAACACCCCACCAACACAAACGCGCTCGCGCGCACACAAGTGTGCAGTCCCGGTCCACAACAGCGAGCACTGCGCCTGTTTCATAGATGCGGGCGCGAGTTAGTACTGTTCTCTGTGGGATTCAGCAGCGAGCAGCTCTCCGAGACGGCCCCCAAGCCTAGCCCGAGGACGACAACGATTAATCTCCACTAACTCGCGCCCAAGAACACTACAGAACGGCCCAGAACCCGGGAAGCGAAGCACGCATGCGCGGACGAGGCCGGCGGCGATGGCGCGCAGAGCGGACGCGCAAGCGCAGCTTGCTAGGTAGGCGGGGGCGTGGGAGGCGCGGGAGAGCCCGGTGGGTGCTCCGGTGGGGACGCAGGCTGTGTTCTCGGCTATGGCTCACAAGCCCAAGAGGACTTTCCGGCAGCGCCGAGTTGACGACAGCGACAGCGACGGCGCTGAGGAGCCGGGTGTTGAGCCCGGGACACTGAAGGAGCAGGCGGCCGCAAGCCCTGCCGAGGAAAGCCAGCCTTCTGAGAGAGGTCGTGCGGAGGAGGCGGAAGGGCCTTCCAGGGCCCGGGGCCCTCGCGGCCGGGGCCGGGGCCGAGTGTGGGCGACTTCGCGGCGCGCCGCGGGAGCAGCTCTCCGCGCCTTTGGCGGCTCGGGCGTCCCAGGTGACGCGGGCGGCGGGCCGGGGCGCTGGATCTTTAGAAGTGCCCATCACCGAGGGCTGGCCGCCAGCCGCGCAGAGTCGTGGGCATGGTGCTCGAACCCTCGCCCGCTGCCTGCGCCTACATGCTGGGCACCTTGGGGTGGCCATCAGAGGACTCGCCAGTTACAGGGCTGTAGAGTAGTGGGCACCTTGGGGTGGCCATCAGAGGACTCGCCAGTTACAGGGCTGTAGAGTAGTGGGCACCTTGGGGTGGCCATCAGAGGACTCGCCAGTTACAGGGCTGTAGAGTAGTGGGCACCTTGGGGTGGCCATCAGAGGACTCGCCAGTTACAGGGCTGTAGAGTAGTCATTGATGTTTACGAAGAACCTAAATCGTCGTTCAGGAGTGAAATAACTCCTAATGCTGCTGAGTAGTCAAAAGTTCCTTGTACCTTTTGGAACTTGCCAAAGTTACTTTTTTAGAAATCATTTGATCAGGGTTGTACGTTAGAAGCAGCTAAATGGTAGCCTTTGGAATGTTCTGTTTTTGCTTTTTTTTTCTTTTTTTCATCAAATAAGCAAAAACTGAAATAATTGCAACACCGAGTAGGTCAGTAGAGAATTGAGACTGTACCAGTAACTATGGAATACAGTGTGATCATTTATAAATATCTGCGTTTTCAACTATCTTTGGGTTTTTAACTATAGGTTTCCAGCGACATACAATTGTTTACATACAACGTGCTGCCCTCAATTGGAGTTGTAGCTTACTGTGGAGTATAGTTTTTGGTTAGTCTGAGGTTTCAAAATTTTCTTCCTACTGTTGGTTACCATTAAAATGATCTGAGTGATTTTTAATTTATTTATTAATTGACAAAAATTGAGTATACTTATGGAACACAGCTTGATGCTTTGAAATATGCATACAGTGACTAAATTGAGCTAGTTGACCTAAACACTACCTCGCATTTTTTGTTGGTAAGAACACTGAAAGTCTACCCTGAGCAGTTTTAAAGTACCACAGTAGGTCACTCTCTTGAACTTACTCCTCTTGTCTAACTGAAGATTTGTGTGTTTTGACCAATTGTCCCATTACACAGCCGTTTCGCCCCCTCACTCTGCTCTGGTTTTGTGATTTCTACTTTTCTAGGATCTTCACGTGAGATCTTTTTTTATTTGTCTTTCTGTGTTCCTCTTACTTCATCAAACACAGTGTTCTCCAGGTTCATGATGTAGTGATTTCTCAGTCTTTCTTGTGATCATCTGTTCTAAAGTTTTGATGATTTTTTTTCTTACCCTAAAATTTATCAGTTATCTGGTGATAGGGAGAATGTAGGCCAGGGGTTGCCTTTCTCTGGCCTTCTAGAACAGTGATTCTCAAACTCTTTGGTCTTTGGACCCTCTTTATACAACTTTTTAAGAAGGTTAAGATCCCAAAGGCCTTTCATTTCTGTGAGGTCAGTCTTTTATTACCATACTAGAACTTATGCAAAAATAAATATTTTGCGAAAAATGGGAGAGTAGTATTTTCTTCAGTGTCTGACTAAAGAGTAGTTGAATTCTCATGGTGTTATCTGTATTCATTCGCATGAGCTGCTTGAAATATTTGAGAAAAAGTCAAACAGGAGTACTTAATAGCCTTTCTAGATCATTGAGGTGCTCTGCTTTAGTGTTACAACAAAGTTTGGCAATGTAATCTCTGAAGCATCAGTTGTAACTTGGAATATTAAAACATATTACTAGATTTTTGATTCTCTTACATTAACATCCATTGGTCTATATTGCATTTGCAATGGATCTTTTACCCACACATGATTGGAGGCATCATTTGTTGATTATTTGGGAAATATTCATTTGATAAGACCTTGCAAATGTGCATTTTATTATACAAATTCAAAAAATCACCATTAACACTGATCTCATCAATTGTTAAGGATTGGGATACTGTCAGATTCCCAGTGAAGGATCTAAGTTTCCCAAAATTACAATTTTCATTTGAAGTGTCTAATTCTGAAGTGAAAGGCACTCATCAACTCAATTTGAGAAAAATGTTTGTCGGATAGCCGTGCCTGACTTTTTTGCCGGTCAGATCTTTCAAGTAACATGAGTTTCTCCCTGAAAACAGTGACTGGTTCAGCTTGTAGCTCAGGCACACAAGTGCTTTTCCTAGAGGCAGTCACTGTTTTTAGTCTGCAGCAAAAGTACCTTATCTGTACTTCTATTTTGTTATGTAGTATATTAAAAAGGTGTATATGCTCAAGGGTCAAGACTCACTAAGATTGGCAGGTTTTCATCGCTTCACCACAGACTGTAAGTGAAACTGTCTTTTTTCCCCTGCCAGTGTGTAGGGATGAAGAATGCGGTGTGGTTGCTATGTTAAATTTTTGTCATAGCCTTGATTGAGGCTAAGTGAATAGCAGTTTCACCGAGTACTACCTTTGCTCTGTTGTATAGATACCAACACAGTGATATCACGTTAGTGTTATAACTAAAGTAATCTTGATTTCACAGACCCTCTGAAAGGGTCTTGGGAATCTCCGCTTGATGGGCTGTGTTTTGAGAACCACTGTGTTAATGTTAATCCATTTTAGGAACAGGTAGGGTTGTCAGAAACTGCTTTACCTAGCAAAAATGTGAGCTACAGCTATATTTCCTTTTTTTTTTTTTTTAAAGTTTTATTTAGCTATTTGAAAGAGTTACAGAGAGAGAGAAGGAGAGGTAGAGAGAGAGAGAGGTCTTCTATCCGCTGGTTCACTCCTCAGTTGACCGCAATGGCTGGAGCCAGGTCAGTCCGAAGCCAGGAGCTACTTTTGGGTCTCCCATGTGGGTGCAGGAGCCCAAGAATTGGACCATCCTCTACTGCTTTACAGCAGAGAGCTGGATCAGAAATGTAGCAGCCAGGACTTGAACCGGGGCTCATATGGGATGCTGGCACTGCAGGTGTCTACCCACTATACCATAGTGCAAGCCCCTCCTTTAGTCTTATAAGTCTTGATTTACTTTAGACCTTTATGAACTGTATGTAGGTAATTAAGGTAAAATTTTAAAGTAAATGTACTCTGTGGCCTTATGTTTTAAGACTTTTCATGAAGATTGCAAAATCATTGTGAACAATCCCTTTCATTCAATTCTCACAACACCTCTTTATTTCTTAATGTTGCTTAATTAGAGTTTAACATATTAAGCAACCTTCCCCAAATCACACACTGAAAAGATAGACCCATGCTTTAATTTTGACCAAAGTGTTTACTACAATATTTCTTGCCACCAACCATTAATACGGTATAATAAAGAGAAAGTCTGGAGTTAGCTAGAATTAGATTGAAAGCCCTGCTTCCGTATTTACTTTGTATTTATCCTTTCAACCCTTAGTTTCCTCATCACTAATACTTACTTTTTATAGTCACAGTGACTAAATGAAGTAAGTCTTATAACACAGATTTCATTGTGCCTAGCACATAGTAAGTGTACATTAAATATTTTTTATTTTTCAGGTTATTCACTACCACTATTTTTCTTTTCTAGATACTACTTCAGTTTCTATCCCTTTATTTTTTCACTAATGTTCCCTTGCCTCTTTTCATTGCAAACTTGGAAAACATTTTGTTAGATACATAACACAAATAGGGGACGTCTTTTTTATTAAACCAGAAAATCCAAGAGTTGGAGAAAGATCTGTATGTCTGCTTAAACTATATAGAGTAGGATTAAAATATCCTGTTGTGCAAATGCCAGGTAGTATTCAGAATTCTAATTACTGAATCCAGTATTTTTTTTTTTCTTGCTACATTGAAAAAATGTCCTGTCAGGATCCAGAGTGGTTGATCTTTCATCAGATGAAGAGGATGGGAGCCATCACTCCTCAGAAAGGAAAGATAATCATAGTCCATCTTCTGACAGCTCCAGTGGTCTGGCAGAAAAGCTTGATTGGTCAGCAGGTTGGTGGCTTTTGTAATTTTGGTAAGAAGTTTGCAATACTTTGAGTCCTGTTATATTGGAAAACTGTCCTGTTAGAATCTATAATAATTGATCTTTACACAGGGGAAGAGGATGGAACCTATCACTCCTCAGAAAGCAAGAATGATCAGAGTCCATCTTCTGACAGCTCTACCTCTCTGGAAAAACGATTTTCTCCAGCAGGTTGGTGGCTTTTGTAATTTTTGTTAAAAATTTTATTTCAAGTATCAATATTTTCTATACCAGAGATTCTTTTTGTTGATAACACAACAAATTCTAGTGAAGTATGATTGTCACAGTGCCAAAAATGCTTGTTTCCATCACATAACAAGTCCAAGATCAGACTGTTTGTAAAATGGGGCAGAACTGGGGTACAGGGAACTAAAAATAACTGGGTGTGGGAATTTAGCCAAGTAGTCAGGACATCAAAGTACCTGAGTTCAATTGTGGACTCTGGCTTTTGGCTCCTGCTTCCTGTTAATACAAACCATGGGAAGCAGCAGTGATAGTGCAAATAATTGGGTGCCTGCCACCCACAAGGGAGACCTAGGTTGAGTTTCCAGCTCCCAGCTTCAGCCCTGGCACCTACCCCTGGCTGTTAGTGAGCCAACAGGTTGGTACTCTCTTTCTGTATATCTTGCCTTTGCCTCTCAAATAAATGAATAAAAATTTTTAAGAAATGGTAAAATAGCTCTTTCTTTTTTTATTTTTTTGACAGGCAGAGTGGACAATGAGAGAGAAAGACAGAGAGAAAGGTCTTCCTTTTTTTGCTGTTGGTTCACCCTCCAATGGCCGCCGCAGCTGGCGCGCTGCTGCTGGCACACCGCGCTGATCCGATGGCAGGAGCCAGGTACTTATCCTGGTCTCCCATGGGGTGTAGGGCCCAAGGACTTGGGCCATCCTCCACTGCACTCCCTGGCCACAGCAGAGAACTGGCCTGGAAGAGGGGCAACTGGGGGACAGAATTCGGCGCCCCGACCGGGACTAGAACCCAGTGTGCTGGCGCCGCAAGGCGAAGGATTAGCCTAGTGAGCCGCGGCGCCGGCCCTAAAATAGCTCTTTTTAAAGATATTTAATTGAGAATTTAAGAAAAAGAAACAAAGCAGGAGGAACAAATTGGAGTGACATGTATAGGGATTTTATACAAAAAGATGATGAGACCATTTTTATGTTTTGAAATAGTCTAGTTTAGAAGTTGGCAAATTACCACCTGTGGGCTTACAGATTTGTTAATGAAGTTTTTGTTAATAAAGCTTTATCAAAACACACTGTCAGTCTTTTGGTAACTCATCTATGGTTGATTGTACGCTGAAGCGGCAGAGAGAGTTGTGACCAAGACCTTTTGGATCGCCTCAAGAGTTTGCAGCTTGTTCTGTGCTGAGTAGTCCTTTTCAGTTTAGTGAAGCCTAAGACCTCTTCTGAGAAAACACATATGTAGCTTCAGAAAGGAAATAAGTTATATTGAAATTATAATCATTAAAATATATTTTAAGGGACTTAACAGTAATAAGTTATTTATAATCCATTAAATAATAGTAGCCAGTAAATCTGTAGCCTTTTAGGTTTTATTCTTTTTAAGAAAAAAAAATTTATTTTGTTTATTTGAAAGGCAAAGTTACAGAGAGAATGAGGGAGAGGCATAGAAAGAGATCTTCCATCCTCTGAGTTCATTCCCCAAATGTCCACAACAGCCAAGGCTGGGCCAGGCCAAAGCTAGGAGCCAGGAGTTTTCTTGGAGTCTCCCACCTGGGTGCAGGGGACCAAGCTCTTGCGCCGACCTCCACTGCTTTCCCAGGCTCATTAGAAGGGAGCTGGATCAGATGTGGAGCAGCCAGGACTTGAACCGATGCCCCTGTGGGTTACTGGCACTGCTGGTGGCAGCTTAACCCTCCAAACCACAAAACCAACCCCCATAGTTTTTTTTTTTTTTCTATCCAAGTTCATGAATACAGAAGTACAGAGTGATAAAACCAGTATTACAAGTGGAAGTTTGGTAAACAGTTGAAGCTTTTTTTTTTGTTTAGATTCCAGATGAAGCACTGTCCAATAGAATTTTCTACATTGATTGAAAAATTCTGCATCTTTACTGTCTAGTACATACCCATAGCCAGCTATTGAGCTCCCGAAATGTGGCCAATACAGCTGATGAGTTGAATTTTTAACTTAGTTAAATTTAAGTGGTCACATTTGGCTAGTGGCCACAGTGTTGAACAGTAGTGCTATAGAAGATGGTGGATTAAACAGTATAAGCTAGCAGTTGTTAAGTGTTGGCAGCACTGCCCACCTAAGGAGAGAGGGCAGTGTGTGGAAGTGTTAGGGGTGTTTTCTAATGATCAGTGATTGAGATGTTGCTGGCATATAGTGCCCTGGAGACAGGAATGATAAACGTCCTGAAGACTGCAGGATAGTTCAGGTCAGTGAGGAAGTGTCCCTTTCTCAATACTTCATTGGGAAACAGTGATTAAAAGTTGAAAACTTGCCATGTGAGGAACCCTTGAAGTACAAGGGATGTCCTGACTGTAGAAGAAAAGATGGAGGATTGTGATAATGTTAAGGACTGGTTTATAGGAGTGCATTTATTTTGTGTTCAGAACTATGAGAATGGAATATCTGCCTTGAAATGTTCCCTGTGGCAGAGGCCACTTGTTACCAGAGGAAGATGATGGTTGACTCTGTGCTTTAGATGACTGTGTATCACAGAGTATGATGTGTGTGAAAATACTTATGAGTTACAAATCTGTAAAAATGTTCTATTATAAAAGTGTGCTAGCTTAATTAATTCATCTCCAGTCTGTCCAGCATCTCCTCCATGGAAATCATTGAGCTGCCAATTGGATGTGGAAAAACAGGGCAGAGAAAATATTCTCTCCATTGAACTTTTACTTTGTTATTGTAGCATGAGAGGATCAGCTTTATTTAGCACTAGGATCTCACAAGTGAACCCACTGGGCCTCGCCCAGCCCTGCCAGTTGGGCCATTTGGGAATGAACTAACAAATAGAAATTCTGTCTCTCTCTCTCCTTTCTTTGTATCTCTGCCTTTCACATAAATAGATCTTTTAAAATGTTCAAAAACAAAAAAAATTGCTGACGTAACTTGATGTAACAGTTTTGAATATTAATTTTGCTTTAGATTGTATTAACTGAATCCCAGCTTTTAAGACATGTCATCTTCATGCACATCAAAATAAGACCCATTAAGCCAACAAAACTAAGTACAGAGCTCTCTGGTTGCAGGTCACTACTTCATAATCAATAATTTTTAGTTATTTTCAACCATGTAAAAATTCAATGAACTATATGATTTACCTCACCTATTTTAATATAATCTACAAGGAAAGAATCCAAATGTTAAATGCTTCAGGATGAAGAGATACCTAACCTTTATCATTTCCCTGATATCAGTTAAATAATTACTAGTCTATAAAAAGTTAAATCACTTGGCCGGCGCCGTGGCTCACTTGGCTAATCCTTTGCCTGCGGTGCCCGCACCCTGGGTTCTACTCCCGGTTGAGGCGCCGGATTCTGTCCCGATTGCTCCTCTTCCAGGCCAGCTCTCTGCTGTTGCCCGGGAAGGCAGTGGAAGATGGCCCAGGTGCTTGGGCCCTATACCTGCATGGGAGACCAGGAGGAAGCACCTGGCTCCTAGCTTTGGATCGGCGCAGCACGCCAGCCATAGCAGCCATTTGGGGGGTGAACCAACAGAAGGAAGACCTTTCTGTCTCTCTCTCACTGTCTAACTCTGCCTATCAAAAAAAAAAAAAAAAAAAAAGGAAAGAAAACGACTATTAATGCCCTTTCTGCACTGTACAAATAGAGTATCATTGTTTCCATTTAAATTGCTCACCCCCTCCTGCCCTAAACATTCCTGGGGGGAAAAAAAGTTAAATTACTTGATTTGATATCCTTGTTCTTGATTCATAGGTCCTGGTTCCTAATGATCACCAATTATTATTCTGTGATTAACTCAAGCAATGTTTATTTTTCCTTGGATTGTTGTCAAGTTTATTGATCTGCAGTTTATGGAATCTTTGTGTTGTTTCAAACATTACAGCATTTGTATATCTCTCTAAGCATATGACGTGTTTTCATTTTTCAAGGAATTTGCACCAATTTATAGGAAAATTTAGAAAATGTTACTTGAGCTTCAATGCTTTGACATCTCAAGACTTTTAAAGTATTTGAACTGGTGAAAATTTCTCTTAGCCTTTTGTTTACTGTGGTGTTTTTCTTAAGAAGATACTTTTTCGGGGGACAGCGAGGAGTAACAAGTAGCTGCCGCCTGCAGTGCTGGCATCTCATAGGGTGCTAGTTCATGTCCTGGCTGCCCCATTTCCTATCCACCTTCTGCTAATGGCCTAGGCAAAGCAGCAGAAGACAGCCCAAGTGCTTGGGCCCCTGCACCCATGTGGGGACCCAGAAGAAGCTCCTGGCTCCTGGCTCCTGGCTTTGGTCTCACCCAGCTCTGGCCATTGCAGCCATTTGGGGAGTGAACCAGCAGGTGGAAGATATTTCTCTCTCTTCCTTTCTCTTTCCTCATCACCACCGCCCCCCCAACTCTGCCTGTCAAATAAAATACATCTTAAAAAAGACTTTTTCCAGATCCTGGCATTGACTTGATTGTCATCTGTTTCTCAGTCCCTATGTACATGGGTGTCCCTGAGGAGCAGTTTGTCATAGTGTGGTGCGTTCCTACTTTGCTGATTCACACTTGTCTGTCCTCCTGATTCATACAGTTCTCACTGAGGGCCTCTCCACTCAGCCTCTCCACATCCCTACCCTTATAATCTCAGTGCTTCGAGACGTGAGAAATAGCTAGCTCTGAAGAAATAGTAACACCTAGTAGGTAAGAGAATTAAGAGACAAAGTGAAATGGTGTCGGTATGTTTTCTGATACTTCTATGTTTGCTTTATTTCTGTAAATTGTAATTTATATTTAAAATCTATTAAATTAATTTTCTTCCTTTATTGTCAATTTTGAGTCCTTTATTGCAGCTGCATGTATCAAAATCATGAAAACCTTAGTGAAAATGATGTCTTTCTTGCCCAGCGAGAGGAACACTTATTTCTGCTGGTGTTTGGTTTTCAGTGTCCTCCTCTTTGTTTCTTTCAGTGAAGATCCCTGATGCAGCTTTCATTCAGGCAGCCCGCAGAAGACGGGAGTTGGCCAGGGCCCAAGATGATTATATTTCTTTGGATGTAAAGCAAAGCTCCACCATCTCTGGTCTGAAGGGGGCCAGTGATGAGGATTCTGAGAGTGAACCTGATGATGCTGAAACAAAAATACCATTTACCCCAAAGCCTCAAACACTTAGACAGAGAATGGCTGAAGAGACAAGTATGTATTTATCTTACACACTAATCTGAAGATAAGATCACTCTTCATCAGAACGTAATATTATAATATCCCATGTTGGTTTTTATTTAATATAAATTTGGCCTATTACATTGTAGTGTCTAAAATATATATCAGAATGTTGTTAAAGAGCATGTGTAATGATGTTTGCTAATGCCTAACCCTCACTTAATGTTTTCTGACAGATTAAAAAAAATAATGGTGTGTATTCTTTTTAAATGTTGGAAACAATCATTGTGACACCTTTAGAAAAAATGTTTTTTCTTACATAGAAGCATCTACAGAGATTCTATAGGTGTCATGCATTAAAATCTATCCTGCCATAAATAAAATGTCCTCTATCAATAATACTTAAGTCTCAAAGGATTATTTTCACATTTCTCATTTGTTACATACATGTTTTACTAAGGTTTTTGTTACTTCGAATAATATTTTTTCAAAATTAGACTGGTTTCTCATAACCCAGAAATTATTTTCAGTGTTTGAATTATTGGGTAAGAATTGAGAGATCTTTGATGAAGAAAACCAAACATTTCATTATTGGCTAGTTTTTCCCATGTGTGTAGCGATGATATTTTGAGTGGGGTAGTGGGGTGATAAGGATGCAGGTTTCAGAGTCTGATTACTGCAGCCTCACCAGAGTCCTTGTCAAGTTGTTTAATCTCCCAGTATCTTAGTTTCCTTATTTGTAAAATGAAGGCAATAATAATACCTTCTTCCCAGAATTATTGTGAAGAATAAGTAATAAGGAAAATGCTACTAAGCCTGCATATAGTAAACCCCTCAGAAGTATTAGCTGTGCAGATTAGAATGAAAAATATTGAATGTTTATATGTTATTTTTTTTCCCTAGCAAGCAGAATTGAAAACACAAGTGAAGAAATCCATGAAGGTGAAAATCAAGATATTTGGGAACAGCAACAAATGAGGAAAGCAATTAAAACCATACAGGTAATAAAAAGTATACCAGGTGAATTATGTTTCTGTAGCCGCTGTAACAAATTAACACAAACTCTGGAACTGAAAGCAATTCTCTCCCACAATGTGGAGGCCCGAAATCTAAAATCAGTGTGTTGGCTGGGCTATGTTTCCTCTGAAGACCCTGGAAAAGAATACTCCCTTGCTTTTTCCAACTTCTGATTGCTTTACATGGTCCTTGACTTGTAACTTCATAAGTCTTTTTCACTACTTTTGTCCTCATGTGATAACCTTCTCTGTGTCTGCTCTGGTATTTTTAATAAGGACGTTTATGATTGGATTTAGGGCCCGCCCAGATAATCCAGGATGATTTCAATATCCTTCACTTAGTTATAACCACTAAGACCCTTTTTCCAAATAAGGTCATATTCACACATTCAGGGTTAAGATTTTGGTGTATCATTTGGAGATCACCATCCAGTCACATCTCACCACACTCCTTTGAATTTGCTGGAATACCTTCTAACACCAATTGGGAACCATAGGAGCCAGGAGCTACTTTGGGTCTCCCACGCGGGTGCAGGGGTCCAGGGACTTGGACCATCTTCTACTGCTTTCCCAGGCTATAGCATAGAACCGGATTGGAAGTAGAGCAGCCAGGACTTGAACCGGTGCCCATATGGGATGCTCCCTGCAGGAGGCGGCTTCACCTGCTACACCACAGCGCCAGTCCAAAATCTCAGGCTTTTATCCTCAAGTATAGTTCTTGTTTGTTTTAAAGCTCACACTTGCTTAAACTTTAATTTTTTTCTATTTTTTTATTTTTTGACAGAGTTAGACAGAGAGAGACAGAGAGAAAGGTCTTCCTTTTGCCGTTGGTTTACCCCCGAAGTGGCCGCTATGGCCGGCGCCTTGCGGCCAGCACGCTGCGCCGATCTGAAGCCAGGAGCCAGGTGCTTCCTCCTGGTCTCCCATGCGGGTGCAGGGCCCAAGGACCTGGGCCATCCTCCACTGCACTCCTGGGACACAGCAGAGAGCTGGACTGGAAGAGGAGCAACCGGAACAGAATCCGGTGCCCGGACCGGGACTAGAACCTGGGGTGCGGGCGCTGTAGGCGGAGGAATAGCTTAGTGAGCTGTGGCGCCGGCCCACTTTCTTAAACTTTAATCACTCACTCCACACAGTATAAATTGTCTGTTTTTATAAAGTTAAAAATGATAGGGTCCCAAGAAATGGAAGGTGTTTATAATCTTCTGGAAAATGGACATAATATACACAATACAGCTGTCTTTTAAGAACATTGCAAGCAGGGCGATGGTGAGCTGTGATTAGCCAGAGGACACTAATGTGAAATACACCATGTTACAAGATGAGAAATGCACCATGTTATCAGTGAGAAATGCATTATTCTGCGAGTACCAGAAATCCCAAATAACAGTGGCTTAAAGAAAAGTAAGAACTTTACCTAGAAACCTCCAGCATACTTAAATTTCCATTTACTTTTCATTGAATAGAATGGAGTTGGAGTTAAATGGCTTCTTCTTTTTCCCTTCGTTTTTTTTAAAGATTTATTTGTTTGAAAGGCAAAAATAGAGGAGCCGGGAGTGGGGTGAGGGAGAGAGAAAGATCAAGAGAGATCTTCCATCCACTGACTCATTCCTCAAATGGTTATACCAGCTGCCGCTAGGCCAGGCTGAAGCCAAGAGCCAGGAGTTTCTTCCAGGTCTCCCTCGTAGGAGCGAGGGCCCAGGTACTTGGGCCGTCTTCCGCTGCTTTCCCAGGTGCATCAGCAGGGAGCTGGATCAGAAGTGGAGCAGCCAAGACTCGAGCTGGTACCCAAGTAGGATGCCAGCACTGCAGGCAGAGGCTTAACCTTCTGGGCCACAGCTCCAGCCCCGATTGCTACTTCTGTAATAGAAGTAAGTGTGAATTTAATCAGACAGCTGTTTGTACCACAAAAAATAACACTCACCAAGGAATGTTGCTGCGTCAAAAACTGCACAACTTTCTTTTTTAAGAAACATTAGATTGTAAATAGATAACTTTAAAAACCTTGAGGACTAGGCCAGCGCCGCAGCTCACTAGGCTAATCCTTCGCCTGCGGCGCCCGCACCCCGGGTTCTAGTCCCAGTCGGGGCGCTGGATTCTGTCCCGGTTGCTCCTCTTCCAGTCCAGCTCTCTGCTGTGGCCCAGGAATGCAGTGGAGGATGGCCCAGGTCCTGCACCTGCATGGGAGACCAGGAGAAGCACCTGGCTCCTGGCTTTAGATCAGCACGGTGTGCCTGCTGCAGCGCGCCGGCCACAGCGGCCATTGGGGAGTGAACCAACGGAAAAGGAAGACCTTTCTCTCTGTCTCTCTCACTGTCCACTCTGCCTGTCAAAAAAAAAAAAAAAAAAAAAAAAAAAAAACCTTGAGGACTAAACTTTTGAAAGACCAGGTTTAAATTTACCACTTACATATGAATTTAAAATTCCAAATTTTAAAAATGTTTTCATTTTAAAAAGATTTATTGTGACTGAAAAATTACAGAGGCATGGGATTTTTGAACTGTAAGAGATCTTGGATTAACCTGTCTCCTTTGTGCTACTGATATTTGTAAGGTAAATTAAATGATTTCTAAGAAATAAATTTTCAAATTATTTTTAGAGAAGAGAAATAGACCTTTCCCACAGCGGGGCATCTCAAACTAAGAAGTTTGACACTTCTATTTCATTTCCACCAGTAAATTTAGAAATTATAAAGAAGCAGCTAAATACGAGGTGAGTAATATTCATTTTGAAATTTCCATTTATCTTAGAATTTTAACAGTGAGAGCACTATATTATTTTAAATTAATAAATGTGTTTGCAAGAAAAAAGTGTCCTCAGTGTTGCCATACTAACACAACCGATGGCATTTTTTGTCTGTGTATTATATGGTGAAAATCAGTAAACACAAATCCCAGTTTTCCTTTTACTTATATGATTTATAAGCATTTGCTACCTTGTTAGATAGCCTTTAGGTTTCTTTAAAGCAGTTATTCATAAAATTGATGCTAATTTACTTATTTCTCTGTTAGACATTTTGATTTTTAAATTTTCTCTATTAATAGAAAATGCTACAGTTAAGGAACATTTTGTTCCTGTAGGTCTTTTAATATGTTAGTTTTTTGCTTAAAATATATTTCCAGGGAAAGTTGTCCCTAGAAAAATTCCAGTTTTTATGACTTTTGCTACAGATTGCCTTTCTAAAGCACACATCTTTTATTCTATCAGTTCTTATCTCTGAAGGAGACAATATTAGTCTTACTATAGGTGGTATTATTTCTAAAACTAAGGTAAACCCTATTACAGGTTATTTTAACTCTTTGTATTTTGTATTGTCCTATGCAGGACAGAGAATATACCATAAATTGATGTGAAAAAACAAGTATGAAGATTACAATTTAATTAGTCCTTTTAACACTTTGTTACAAAAATATTACCAAAACAAGTCTTTTTAAGCAATATTTTCATTGCTTTTTTATTTTTTTAATATTTATTTATTTATTTGAAAGAGTTATACAGAAAGGAGAGGCATAGAGGGAGAGAGGTCTTCCATCCGATGGTTCACTCTCCAATTGGCCGCCAGGTCTGGAACTGCACTGATCTGAAGCCAGGAGCCAGGAGCTTCTCCAAGTCTCCAGTGCAGTGCAGGGGCTCAAGGACTTGGGCCGTCTTCTACTGCTTTCCCAGGCCAAAGCGGAGAGTTGGATCAGGAGTAAAGTAGCTGGGTCTCAAACTGGCGCCCATATGGGATACCGGCACTGCTGCCAGTGACTTTACCACTACACCAAAGTGGCAGCCCCTTTATTGCTTTTCAGGATGTATTTTTCCTAGTACCTGAGAGTAGATTCCCAGGTATTGTTTCTGTAAATCATCTTCAAAGTAACTTTATTCCTCACATTGCAACCTAAAGTATATTTGTTCTTATTTGTACATGTGTATGAATATTTTATGTAAAAAAGACATTTTATAGCAATCTTTAGTGAAATAAATATTTATTATAGATACTTGTTACTTTTAACTGCACTGTAACTTATTTTGTATAAACTAGATTCTTTAATTTTTTTTTAAAGAATTTATTTATTTGAGAGGTAGAGTTACAGTGAGAGGGAGACACGGAGAGAAAGGTCTTCCATCTGCTGGTTCACTCCCCAAATGGCCGCAACAGCCGGACCTGCATGAATCCAAAGCCAGGAGCCACGAGCTTCTTTCCAGTTTCCCATGTGGGTGCAGGGGCCCAAGGACTTGAGACATCTTCTACTGCTTTCCCAGGCCACAGCAGAGAGCTGGATTGGAAGAGAAGCAGCAGGGACTAGAACTGGTGCCCATATGGGATGCCGGCACCACAGCCAGAGGATTAACCTACTGTACCATGGTGCCAGCCCCCTAGATTCTTTAATTTAAAAAGTGAATACATTGTCATGGTTTAAAAAAAAAAAAAAGCACAAAAGGATAACAGAGAAAATGAAGTCACCTTACTCTAGGAAACCATTACAACCAGTTTCTTGTTTCCTTCAGAAGTGGTCTATATGTGTATCTCTACAAGTGTAGATGTACAAGGTACTTCAGAAAGTTAATGGAAAATGAAATTAAAGGATAAATTTATGGGGCCAGCATTGTGGCAGTAGGTTAAACCACCACCTGCAGTGCTGGCCTCCCATATAGGTGCCAGTTTGAGTCCTGGCTGCTCCACTTCCTTTCCAGCTCCCTGCTAATGAGCCTGGGGAAGCAGCAGAAGATGGCACAGGTATCTGGGACCCTGCCGCGAGACTTGGAGGGCGTCCCTAGCTCCTGGCTTCAACTTGGCTGAGACCCACCTGTTGCAACCATTTGGGAAGTGAACCAGTGAATGGAAGATTTATTTACTTCTTTCTTTCTATCTAACTGCCTCTCAAGTAAATACATCTTTTTAAAAAGAGAAGAAAACTTATTTTGCTGCAAAACCATTTTGAAATTAATGCATAACTTTTTTGTAATACATGTTTTCCATGAACTTTTTGAAGACCCTTCATATGATGGATAATTGAATTTTATTACATCATATTTGACAGTTTTTTTCATATAACATTGATTGATAAATGTGATAGTCATGAGACCTGAAAGAAAATGGGCTGTCTTTAATATAACAGCATATGGGGAAATGCAGCAGAGCAGCAACAGAGGAAATGGAATGTACTCCAAGGGATATCAGATTCTAATGACAAGTAAACCCAAAACCATTATGAAAAACAAAACAGATATATTGTACCAAACCATTACATGCTCAGATGGTTTTAATACCAGCTCATTCAGATACCTGTATTCCAAAGAGAACCACAAATTGATCTAACAGCGATGCTACATGGCCTCTCGTATTTCAAATATAATGCTGTTAAGTGTGCTTGCAATTCACTTGGTTTATAAATTCTGATCACTCCTGGCCTAAAAACCTAACCTGTTAGCTTTAACTCTAAAAGAATAGCTCTGGCCTCTGAAAACCTGTTTCTTTTCTCACCATTCCCCTTTGAGACCTTCTTAGTTGTGATCTCCAGCAAGTCTAATAAATTGAGCTTACTTGCCAGTCACTTTCCTTGGTAGTCTTTGAAAAATTTTTGTTAGGCTGCTACTTTTTAAAGAAAAGTTTGTAAAATAAAATAATTTATATAACATATAAATATAACTTTATATTTAAAATAACTTATTTAGGTTGACATTACTACAAGATACTCATCGCTCACACCTAAGGGAATATGAAAAATACCTGCAAGATGTCAAGAGCTCTAAGAATACAATCCAGAACCTAGAGAATTCATCAAATCAAAATCAAAAGTATAAATTCTATAAAAACATGAAAATTTTTGTGGAAAATTTAATTGACTGTCTTAATGAAAAGGTAAATATAAATATTTTTATCATTTATTTGGAAGAAACACCCTTAGCACTCAGTTAAAGAAAGAAAAGTCTAAATTTTGCAATTAATTACTTTTCTCTAGTATTTTTTGTATATTTTTTAACATTTTATTAAACATTCCCTCAATGTTGGCTATTTAGGATTTTTTTTGGATTATTTTGCTCTGATAACTAACACTGAATAAAATCTTGTTAATTTTTTTCAAAATTTCATCTGTTTAAGACAAATTCCTAAAAAATGGAGGTCAAAGAAAATATTCAATGTAAATAATTTTTTTAAAGATTTTTGTTTGTTTATTTGAAAGAGTTATGCAGAGAGAGAGAGAGATATCAAGATCTTTTATCTGCTTGTTCACTCTCCAGATGGTTGCAATGGCCAGGGCTGGGCCAGGTGGAAGCCAGGAGCCAGGAGCTTCTTCTGGGTCTCCTATGTGGGTGTAGGAGCCCAATCACTTAGGCCATTTTCCACTGTTTTTGCCAGGCCATTAGCAGGGATCTGGATTAGAAGTAGAATTGCAGTCTTGAACCAGTGCCCATATGGACCGCTGGCGTCATGGTGATGGCTTAACTTGCTATGCTACAATGCCAGCCCTGAGTGTAAATATTTTTTTTAATGATTTATTGAAATATTTAAAAGGCAAAATTACAGAGAGGCAGAGGCAGAGGAGAGACAGGTCTTCCCTCTGTTGTTTCTCTTCCCAAATGATCGGAAGCCAGGAGCGAGCAGCGTCTTCCAGGTCTCCCATGCAGGTACAGGGGCCCAAGCAGTTGGACCATCTGCTGCTGCTTTCCCAGGCCATCGCAGAGAACTAGATTGGAAGTGAAGCAGCTGGGATTCAAACGGGTGCCCATATGGGATTACCCACTACACCACAGCACCAGCCCTCAGTGTAAATATTTTTAAAACTTATTAAGAATAGTGACAAATTGTCTTCCCAAAAGATTGTGCCAGTTTGTTAATTTTGAAGATTTTGTTTTTATCTAAACATCGTGTTTTGATCACAAAGAACCCCTTAGCTCATTAGCCATCTATAGTTTTAATTATTGTGTTTTGTCTCCTTTGCCCAGTTATCTTTTTAGTTTATAGTGGGGATTGGTCCATCCTTTGTTCTTTTTTGTTGTTGTTGTTTTCTTAATTAAGGATAAATAATTCTTTGTAACTTAAAATTTTAATGTTTTATCCTACTTGATATAAAGTTTCTGACTGGTTTTGTCTTTTGATTTTGTGATGGTTTTTTGATATTGAGATGTTTTGAAAGTTTTGTTACCAGATTTATGAATCTTTTACTTCATAGTTTCTGTTTCTGTTTTATGTATAGTCCTCACCTTGAGATCTTCAATTGTCCTTTTTAAAAAATAGATTGGCCTTTTTAAAATAATTCCCTATTAAGAATTATTTCCATATTATTTTTAATTTATAATTTTTTTATTTTTTATTTTTTTATTTATTTTTTATTTTTTGACAGGCAGAGTGGACAGTGAGAGAGAGAGAGACAGAGAGAAAGGTCTTCCTTTGCCGTTGGTTCACCCTCCAACGGCTGCCGCAGCCGGCACACCGCGGCTGGCGCACCATGTTGATCCGATGGCGGGAGCCAGGTACTTATCCTGGTCTCCCATGGGGTGCAGGGCCCAAACACTTGGGCCATCCTCCACTGCACTCCCTGGCCACAGCAGAGAGCTGGCCTGGAAGAGGGGCAACCAGGACAGAATTCGGCGCCCCGACTGGGACTAGAACCCGGTGTGCCGGCGCCACAGGGCGGAGGATTCGCCTAGTGAGCCGCAGCGCCGGCTTTAATTTATAATTAAAATCAATGTTTTTCCATTTGTAATTAAAATGTTACCAAACAATTGTATGCTTTGTCCCCTATTATTGTTTATTTGGTTTTTTGCCTTTTTTTAGATTTATTTATTTATTTGAAAGTCAGAGTTGGACAGAGAAGGAGAGGCAGAGAGAGAGGTCTTCATCTGTTGGTTCCCTCCCCAGTTGGCACAATGGCTGGAGCTGCGCCTATCTGAAGCGAAGAGCCAGGAACTTCTTCTAGGTCTCCCATGCGGGTGCAGGGGCCCAAGGACTTGAGCCATCTTCTACTGCTTTCCCAGGCCATAGCAGAGAGCTGGATCAGAAGTGGAGCAGCCAGGACTTGAACCGGTTCCCATATAATGCCAGCACTGCAGGAGGCGGCTTTACCTGCTACACCACAGCTATGACCCCACCATAACTGTTTTAAGCTGGCTACTTTCTAGTATCACTTAATATTTATGTTCTTTGTTTATTATGGTGTAATTTTCTTCATTCATCCTTGAAGAATTGGACTGTTAAAATCTTATCAGCCTGGCCGGCGCTGTGGCTCACTAGACTAATCCTCTGCCTGCGGCGCCAGCACACCAGGTTCTAGTCCCGGTTGAGGTGCTGGATTCTGTCCCGGTTGTTCCTCTTCCAGTCCAGCCCTCTGCTGTGGCCCGGAAAGGCAGTCTGTCTGTCTCTCTCTCTCACTGTCTAACTCTGCCTATCTTTAAAAAAAAAAAAAAAAAATCAGCCTACACATTGCTGTATTTGTAGCAGCAGCTTTGGGACATCACTGGAGTAGAAGGAATTATTTCCCAAGAAACATAAGTTTTAATCAACTAACTAATCTGCTTCACAGCTTTCTTAACCTGTCTCTGGATAGGTCTGTCATTCTCCATTTTTCCAGATTTCCACAGCTTGTTCAAGTGCCCTTGCTGTGCATGCGCTCATCCTGGGGAAAAAAGAGTTGCCCCCTTCATTTCCTCCTACTCTTTTGTCTCAAAGAATATTTTCTCTTACCTATCATACCTATCCATGACCATAACATGATAGCTGTTGCAATTTGGTAGCTGGTTTGTTTTTTAATATTCAAAACATTTGTCAGTATACGGCACAAAGTGTTTTATAATTTAGATGTACTATGTATAGTATTAATATTTTTTATGGGTGCTGAGTTCTAGTCCCGGTTGCTCCTCTTCCAGTCCAGCTCTCTGCTGTGGCCCAGGAAGGCAGTGGAGGATGGCCCAAGTGCTTGGGCCCTGCACCCGCATGGGAGACCAGGAAGAAGAACCTGGCTCCTGGCTTCGGATCAGCGCAGCGGCATGCCGTGGCGGCCATTTTGGGGGGTGAACCAATGGAAGGAAGACCTTTCTCTCTGTCTCTCTGCCTATAACTCTACCTGTCAAATAAATTTAAAAAAATATTTTTATGAGAGTTGAGCATATTCATTTACTTACATATTTTCTCAGTATTACTTCTTTATACTTTTTATGACTCATTGGTGACAACCTGCAAAATGTTACTTATATATGTATTTCAGATTATCAACATACAAGAAATAGAATCATCCATGCATGCACTTCTGTTAAAACAAGCCTTGACCATTATGAAACGCAGGCAAGATGAATTAAAACATGAATCAACGCATTTACAGCAGTTATCACGTTAGTGTTTTTCATGTTCAATATGACTTAATATTCATTAAGGTAAATTATTATTTGAGGAATAAAAATAATTTTATTCCCAAATAAAATGCTTTAAGTGAATTTTCCACTAACCCTTCCTGCAGCCCCTTCCAAAAATCCAAAATACTTAACATTGAATATTTTAACTTTGAATCATTTAGTATTTAAAGCAAAATATTTATATTGCCTTTTAATGAATATTTTGAGATAAGTTTGCACAGACCTATTTACTCTGTTAGATACCTAAGTGACTTTCAAACACATGACATTTAGTTTGTCATAAATAACAGTGATACATACTAAAATAGGTAATCATAAGATGTTGGTGCACATATTTCTGGAATTAAGCTATAGAGATAACTGATGAAGAATGTGAATGAAAGAAACTTGGAGAGTTTTGTTACTATTCTCAAGTACTAATTACATTTACCAGCCAAGGTACAGTTTTTAGGCTACCAAACTTGATAACTCAATATTGTGATAAGGAGTTAACATAGGAATTTCACTTCATAAAGAAATATGTGATTTAGACATAGTGCATGTGTTCATACTCATACACACATACATACATTGATGATATTTTTATTTTCAAAGAATTTCACTTTTTTGAGAATTTGCAGTACAAAATCAATTTTATTCATTAACAGGCAAAGCTGAAACATCAGCAGATGAAAACTTGGCTATTGATGAAAAACTTCAGCGGATTTTGGAAGAGATTGAATCTCGAAGGTAGCTATATAAAATGAAGACACATCATTGAGCAAGTACCTTTTTACTGCTTAAATAATTTTATGACTAATTTTGTGAAATAATTAACTGTAACCTGACCTAGTGATTTGTGAGAATACTGTGAAACTAGAATTTAGTTAGCAGTCATCAGCTGTTATAAAGACCCACTGGTATATTTGGACCAATTGAAAGGGTTGGGTAGGGGCAACTCCTCCCTTGGGCGCTTCTTCCTGAGTGCTGCATCAGAAGGCTCCCTGCTTTCAATAAAACTGCTTTGTTTACCAAAAAAAAAAAAAAAAAAAGGAAAAAGAAAAAGTTTTTAAACATTCATCAAAGTGAAAACTTAGAAACTTATAAAAGCTTATGAAAAACTTATGAAAGCTTATAACCAGAAGGTGGTCCTATTTATATTGTCACCCCAGTTCAGAATCTGGGTAGCCTGTGGGAATGTCCTAATTGAGATAATTGTGTGCCAGTGTGATAGTGTTTGTGGCCATTTAAAATGAATGATAACATTCTAGCCTTTTGTTTTAAACTATTTGTTTTCAGTAAGAACTATTTGCTTTTTGTTTATTTTGGTTTATTGAAAACTATAGGGAAAAACGAAGACAAACCAGGGCACTTTCTGGAAAGTGTGACCATCAGGAAGGGACATCCAGTGATGATGAACTGACCTCTGCAGAGATGACTGACTTCCAAAACAGCCAAGGTCAATTGCCAAGTTTGTAATATGTCTTGGTTTAAAGTATTGAAATGGTAGGAGATGCTTCACTGTATTTGCCCTAAATTATGTATCTACATTAAAAAAAGGAAAGTTCAGGTAAAATAAAGTTTTTTTTTCTTCCTAGAGACTTTTCCTTGCATCTTTATATGATGATGTTTCAAAAAAGTCATAGAAAAGTGGAGTTAAAAGTATGAGTTTATTAACAGTTGCAAAAATGATTTTTTCTTGAGATGTATGTTATGAAAATACTACACATGGATTTCCAAAATTTTTTGTACCAAAATAAACTTGTGTTTTTAATCCCCCCTTTTTTAAAAGCTTTATTTATTTGAAAGAGTTACACAGAGAGAGAAGGAGAGGCAGAGAGAGAGAGAGAGAGAGGTCTTCTATCCACTGGTTCACTCCCCAGATGGCCACAATGGCCGGAGCTGCACCATTCTGAAGCCAGGAGCCAGGAACTTCTTCCAGGTCTCCCACGTGGGTGCAGGAGCCCAAGGACTTTGGCCATCTTGTATTGCTTTCCCAGGTCAATATAAGAGAGAGCTGGATTGGAAGAGGAGCAGCTGGGAATAGAACTGGTGCCCACAAGGAATGCAGGCACTGCAGACAGTGCCTTACCTGTTACGCCGGCCCCTTAATTCCCTTTTTCCAAAAACTTGAAGTACCCTCATAGTTTTTCCCCTCAGCCTTTTTTCCTGTTAGAAACGAACATTTCGGTTTCATTTTTTTACCTCATACTTTTTTCATTCTATCTTTTAATTCAAAACAACTGCATTTAGTAAAATCATTTTTAGTATTAGGAACAGAAATGATGTGTGTAGTTGAAAGCTTCTGGGCTTTAGGTTCAGAGAAGGTTCTATTCTGTTTTCTCATAAGCATATTCTTTTATCTCCGTGAATCTGATGTTTGTTTTTGTCTAAGTAAATTGGTTATGCCTAACTTGTTGGAAGATAGTTAGGGTGTTTTTTTTTTAACTTTTATTTAATGAATATAAATTTCCAAAGTACGATTTATGGATTACAATGGCTTCCCCCCCATACTGTCCCTCCCACCCACAACCCTCCCCTTTCCCACTCCCTCTCCCCTTCCATTCACATCAAGATTCATTTTCGATTATCTTAATATACAGAAGATCAGCTTAGTGTACATTAAGTAAGGATTTCAACAGTTTGCTCCCACACAGAAACATAAAGTGAAAAATAATAGATGATTTTTTTAAATGATGATGAAATCAGATCAGACCTATTGTCATGTTTAATCCCAGTGAGAGTCAAGTTGGGAGTTGATAATTTCTTTTTTTTTTTTTTTTACAGAGGATCAGTTTAGTATGCATTAAGTAAAGATTTCAACAGTTTGCACCCGCATAAAAACACAAAGTGAAATATATTGTTTGAGTACTCGTTATAGCATTAAATCTCAATGCACAGCACATTAAGGACAGAGATCCTACATGAGGAGTAAGTGCACAGTGACTCCTGTTGTTGACTTTACCAATTGACACTCCTGTTTATGGCATCAGTAATCTCCCTATGCTCCAGTCATGAGTTTCCAAGGCTATGGAAGCCCTCTGAGTTCTCCGATTCTTATCTTGTTTAGACAAGGTCATAGTCAAAGTGGAGGTTCTCTCCTCCCTTCAGAGAAAGGTACCTCCTTCTTTGAAGACCTGTTCTTTCCCCTAGGATCTCACTCACAGAGATCTTCTGCCAGAGTGTCTTGGCTTTCCATGCCTGAAATACTCTCATGGGCTTTTCAGCCAGATCCAAATGCCTTTAGGGCTGATTCTGAGGCCAGAGTGCTATTTAGGACATCTGCCATTCTATGAGTCTGCTGAGTATCTCACTTCCCATGTTGGATCACTCTCCCCTTTATTTATTCTATCAGTTAGTGTTAGCAGGTACTAGACTTGTTTATGTGCTCCCTTTGACTCTTAGTCCTTTCATTATGATCAATTGTGAACTGAAATTGATCACTTGGAATAGTGAGATGGCATTGGTACATGCCACCTTGATGGGATTGAATTGGAATCCCCTGGTATATTTCTAACTCTATCATTTGGGGCAAGTCAGCTTGAGCATGTCCCAAATTATACATCTCTTCCCTCTCCTATGTTTAACAGGGATCACATTTCAGTTAATTTTCAACACTTAAGAATAACTGTGTATTAATTACAGAATTAAACCAGTCATATTAAGTAGAACAGACAAAAAAACTACTAAGAGGGATAATATATTAAGTTGTTCATTAACAGTCAGGGCTATGCTGATCAAGTCACCGTTTCCCATAGTGTCCATTTTACTTCAACAGGTTTCCTTTTTGGTGTTCAGTCAGTTGTCACTGATCAGGGAGAACATATGGTATTTGTCCCTTTGGGACTGGCTTATTTCACTCAGCATGATGTGTTCCAGATTCCTCCATTTTGTTGCAAATGACTGGATTTCGTTGTTTCTTACTGCGGTATAGTATTCTAAAGAGTACATATCCCATAATTTCTTTATCCAGTCTACCGTTGATGGGCATTTAGGTTGGTTCCAGGTCTTAGCTATTGTGAATTGAGCTGCAATAAACATTAGGGTGCAGACCGCTTTTTTGTTTGCCAATTTAAATTCCTTTGGGTAAATCCCAAGGAGTGGGATGGCTGGGTCGAACGGTAGGGTTATCTTCAGGTTTCTGAGGAATCTCCAGATTTTTTTTAAAGACTTATTTACTTATTTGAAAGAGTTACACAGAGAGAGAAGGAGAGGCAGAGAGAGAGAGATCCTGAATCGGCTGGTTCACTCTCCAGTAGGCCGCAATGGCCAGAGCTGTGCCGATCTGAAGCCAGGAACTTCTTCCTGGTCTCCCATGCAGATGCAGTAGCCCAAGGACTTGGGCCATCCTCTACTGCTTTCCCAGGCCATAGCAGAGAGCTGGGTTGGAAATGGAGCAGCTGGGACTCGAACCAGCACCCATGTGGGATGCCGGCACTGCAGGCGACAGCTTTACCTGCTACGCCATAGCGCCAGCAGCAGTTAGAGTGTTAAAATAAGGCACTGCATGTATAGTATTTTAGTGTAATAGCAGGGACCCAGTTAATGGTAGGTTTTATTAGTATGTTTTTACTTTTGTTACCAAATCAACTTTTAATAAAAATAGGTATGTATGTTAATGTCAAAGAAAAGTTTTCAGTTCAGTTGGCTGCATAGTCAAATGAGGAAGCATATTTAAAATTCACAAACTTAAAATTCATAATAGAGTCTTATTTTGTTTACAGGTGACATTTTAAAGGATCATAAGAGAGTTTTTGAAGATGTACATGAAGATTTTGGTAACATCCAGAGTATTTTATTGAAGTTTCAGCAATGGCGAGAGAAGTTTCCTGATTCCTATTATGAAGCATTTATTAGTTTATACATACCAAAGCTTTTAAATCCCCTAATAAGGGCTCAGTTAATCGACTGGAATCCTCTTAAGGTATGCTTAACATGTGAAAAATTATGGTGGATATGCCTACTCAACAAACAAGAAAATGAAGTTCTGAGAAAAAGAGAAATAAAGATTTAACAAAGTGAAGGATGGAACCTGCCCTTATCTTTTTCCATCAGTCATGCATGCCTGTTGCTGTAGGTTAGGTTCAGAGTCATAGTACAGGAACTAAGCTAAGAAGAATAGGTAGTTTGTCAACCCTTCAAGCTGAGTTGGATACTGTGTTAGGCCTAGCAGAGATATTTCCACTCTTCCATTCAACAAATAATAATTGGCCATCTGCTGTTTATCTAATAAGCTAAACCACATGTGAATTATATGTATGCTTTTAAGAACTGAAGGAGCCAAAAGTAAATTTTGCTTGAGGTAAATGAATTTTTATAAACAAATTCTGTGTTTACTTCATGTGCCCAGCCAAGGTATATTTTGTTCCTACCAGAGTATTTGAATTCCTGGCACATAGTAGGCATTTGAGTATTTATGTATAAGTAAATGCATGAAATGCTGCAACTTCTTATATTGCTAGATACCATGTCTTAGGTCATCCTGCCTTGCCTGGTGCTGTAATGATACATACATAATTTTAAAATAGAGAATTATTCTCCTTTGATCCTAAGAAAAGTTCTGGTATTTATTGAAAAATGTAACTATTTTGGCCGGCGCCGCGGCTCACTAGGCTAATCCTCCGCCTTGCGGCGCCGGCACACCGGGTTCTAGTCCCGGTCGGGGCACCGGATTCTGTCCCGGTTGCCCCTCTTCCAGGCCAGCCCTCTGCTGTGGCCAGGGAGTGCAGTGGAGGATGGCCCAGGTGCTTGGGCCCTGCACCCCATGGGAGACCAGGAGAAGCACCTGGCTCCTGGCTCCTGCCATCGGATCAGCGCGGTGCGCCGGCCGCAGCGCGCCGGCCGCGGCGGCCATTGGAGGGTGAACCAACGGCAAAGGAAGACCTTTCTCTCTGTCTCTCTCTCTCACTGTCCACTCTGCCTGTCAAAAAAAAAAAAAAAAAAAAGTAACTATTTTAAAATACACTAATGTTTAAGAATTTATTTCTAACTTTTATAATTTTGTATTTAAGTTGGATTCCATAGGTTTAAAACAGATGCCATGGTTCACATCTATACAAAAATTTGTGGATAGCCATGTGGAAAATTCAAGTAAGGATGACAGTTCTGATAAAAAAATTTTGTCTGCTATCATCAACAAAACAGTTATTCCACGGCTGAAAGGTACTATTCTGTAATCTTGCTCAGATTAAATTGTTCTTTGACAGATATAAGATTATTAATTTCTGTTACAGCTACAAATGGTGTTTCGGGAATCTTTGAACACAAGGAAATGTTATGCAGTAAAGATCAACAGATGTTAGGGTGGACCTTTGTCTAGTGGTTAAGATGCCGCTTGGGACATCTGTATCCCAAATCAAGGTTCCTAGGTTTGAGTCTCAGCTCTACTTAGAATTCTGGCTTCCTGCTGCTGCCCACCTTAGGAGGCAGGTGATAGCTCAGGTACTCAAGTCCTTGCCATACATGTGGAAGATGCAGATTGAGTTCTGTGCTCTTGGCTTCCCCCAGGCTCAGTCCCCACTGAACCATTTAAGGAACAAACCATTGGATGAAAGACCTCTAGCTGTCTCTCTTTCTCTCTCTTTTTGCCTTTAAAATGAAGACCAACAAATGTTAATTTTAAGCTGGTTAAAAAAAAATTTTTGTGTGCTGTTGGTTGGTAACCAAACCACTAATACGCTGAGCATTTAGCATTTGTGACAGTTCTGCTGCTTCTGGGACACCTTACTCATCTGTTAGTGGTATACTTACATCTGTACTTTATGAACCTCTTTCTTTCCCTTAACTTCTCCCATTAATGTTTCTTGTTTTCTTTAAATTAAAAAAAAAAAAACTGCATTCTCTTTGCATGTGCAGCTAGTAACTATGGCCACTTAGCATTAGTGCTGGTGCCTTCAAAGTCTGACAACTCACTTTACTTGAAACTATGCTTTGATAAGAAGCTGTTAGACTTTATTACTAATAATGAATTTGGTAACAGTAAATGCAAATCTCTGTTGAAAAAGATTAAGCAGTCAGCTTTCTACATTGCCTTGCAGCCAGCTTGATTAAACTTTAGATTTTTGTAATGAAACAGTGTGTTGTGGAGTGTATCAGTTGTTATTTTTAACGAACTCTATTAATATAAGTGCCTCATTGAAGTACCTTTCTGAAAAATCCAAATACTTATGATTAAATAGTCCCACAAATTAGTATTTTTATGAGAAATTAATACTGACTAGGTTCTTTAGTGTTGTGCTGTAAGTGTGGCACACATCCGATATCGAAGTAACTGGGTTTCAATCTGCCTCAGCTTCCAATCCAAGTTCTGAATAATGCATACACTGAGGGCTGGTGCTGTGGTTAATCCTCTGCCTGCGGTGCTGGCATCCCACATGGGCATGGTTCTAGTCCTGGCTGCTCCTCTTCTGATCCAGCTCTCTGCTGTGGCCTGGGAAAGCAGCAGAAGATGGCCCCTGTACCCGCGTGGGAGACCCGGAAGAAGCTCCTGGCTCCTGGCTTCATATTGGTGTAGCTCCAGCCATTAGGGACATTTAGGGAGTGAATCAGTGGATGGAAGGACTTAGCTTTCTGTCTTTCCTTCTCACTGTAACTCTACCTCTCAAATAAAATCTTTTTAAAAAAATAATAATGCATACCCTGGGAGGCAGCAGCTGATGGCTTAAATACCTGGGTCTCTGCCACCCATGTTGGAGACCCAGATGGAGTTCCTGGCTCTTGGCTTCACCCTGACCCAGCCCCTGCTGTTACAGACATTTGGGAAATGAACCAGCAGATGAAGATCTGTCACTATCCCCTTCTCAGTCTCGCTGCATTTCAAATAAGTAAAAATAAACATTTATAGTGATTGAGTTCTATATATACTTCAAAGGTAGCCATAACAATTTTCTAATAGATTGATTGTGAGGCAAGAGAAGGAATCACAATGATTTGTTTGGGGCCTGAGCAGCTAAAAGGCCAGAGTTGTCATTTCCTGTAATGGAAAAGACTGAGAGAATTAAGTTTACAGTGGACAGGTCTATCAGTAGCTCTGTTTGGGACATGGCTGAATTTGAGACTTTGTCATCTGAATCACAGTGTCAAATTATTGGATAAATGAATCTTAAAAGGGAGGTCGGAGCAAGCTCTGTGGTGTAGCAGGCTAAGTTCATGGGTGCCGGTTCATGTCCTGGCTGCTCTTCTTCTGATCCAGCTCTCTTCTTATGGCCTGGGAAAGCAGTAGAAGATGGCCCAAGTTCTTGGGCTTCTGCACCTGCATGGGAGACCCAGAATAAGCTCCTGACTCCTGGCTTCGGTCTGGTCTAGCTCCAGCCATTGTGGCCATTGGGGAGTGAACCAACAGATGGAAGATTCTCTCTTTCTCTGAATCTCCCTCTCTCTGTAACTCTACCTTTCAAATAAATAAATAAAATCTTTAATTTTAAAAAAGGGGGGAGGTCAAGGGTCAAGGCAGGATGTATAAATTTGGAATTTATTAGTGTACTTATGATACTTAAAGCCATAAAACTGGCTTTAAACACTAAAACAGTGGATGTAAATAGGAAAGAAAAGTTAAGTGACCAGAGATCCTGAAGTGCTGCAGCATTTAGCAGTCAAAGAGGTAACAGGTGCCCAGCAAAAGAATACCAGAGAGGTGGGCAGGAAACCATGAATCTGGCATGCCAGAGCTACATGAAAAAAGTGTTTCTAGGAAAAGAGAATGATCAACTCTTGAAGTTGTTGGAAGTAAGGCAGTTGATGATTGGAGTCATCTACTGGAGTTTGCTAAATTATTGTTATCTATGATTAAAGTAGTTTGGAGTGTTGAGAGGTAAGCCTAATTAAAGGGGAATTAAGAAGAATGGAAAGAGGGAAGTCTGAAATGAAAGTTTAGACAGTAGTTTGAGGAATTTTATTATAAAACGAAGGAGAAAAATGGAGCAGTGCTGGAAGGAGAAGTATGGTTAAAAGGAAGTTTAATTTTTTTTTTTTTAAGTGGAACAGCTGGGACTTGAACCAGTAACCATTGGGATGCCTGGTGCTGCAGGCCAGTGGTTTTTTTTTTTTTTTTTTTTTTTTTTAATTTATTTATTTATTTAAAAGTCAGAATTACACAGAGAGAGAAGGAGAGGCAGAGAGAGAGAGAGGTCTTCCATCCACTGGTTCACTCGCCAGTTGGCCACAACGGCCAGAGCTGCGCCTGTCTGAAGCGAGGACCCAGGAGCTTCTTCCTGGTCTCCGATGCGGATGCAGGGGCCCAAGGACCTGAGCCATCTTCCACTGCATTCCCAGGCCATTGCAGAGAGCTGGATTGGAAGTGGAGCAGCCAGGACTCAAACTGGCACCCATATGGGATGCCGGCACTGCAGGTGGCAGCTTTATCTGCCATGCCACAGCACCAGCCCCTGGAAATTTAATTTTAATACAAGAGAAATAATTGTAGAGTGATAAGAGATTCAGTAGAAGTAATGACAATATGAAAGGAAAGGACAGAATTTTGTGAGTAGGATCTTCCAGTAAGTCAAAAGGGTTGGGATCTCATGTACAGATCAAGTGTTGGCCTTGACTGGGAGCATGGGTATTTCATCCACAGGAATAGTATACAAGTTAGTTGTTTCCATCAAGTTGGGAAGTAATTTGGGAGGGAGCAAGGGAGAATAAAAAGTAAGAAAGTAAAGTCCATCAGCTAAGAGGAAGATTCAGCAGGAAGGAGAATGTACCGAATGACCATCTAGACAAGGAGAGTGGACTAGGGAAAGAGAATATGATTTCTGATGGATAAGGTCTCCCTTGAGTTTTATTAATGCACCTTTTTTTCCAGCCACATATTTGCTGTGTGCCTGCAGGCAGATTTGGTGACAAGATGGATTTAACAAGGATTATGAGTTAGCCAGATAAGTTCAGTAAAGACAAGAAGTAGAGAATGTGTGCAAATACATAATGGCAATGACTGGCATGGGGTTTAAACTAAGAAAAGAAATGTGGAAGGCTTCAGTTATTCATGTGTAAGAAACAAAACAATCTTATAAATAAGTTGTGAGTCACTGAAATATTTGTTTCAGACTTTGTCCAATTTATTTGGGATCCCTTGTCAACCTCACAGACAACGAGTTTAATAACACATTGCAGAGTGATTTTTGAAGAACTTTCCACTTGCGAAAATGAAGTTAATACAAGCAAACAGGTAATATTTTCTGGAGTTATAAATTCTTTGATTTATTTGTAAATCTGTGTAATTTTATGATAAGTTGTTGTTTATAGAAGATGGAGAATCAGGAAACTGGGAGAAAACATGTTTGCTCTGATTTGTAGATGTGAGGATTGAATATACCCTAATACTGCTAAGCACTCTAACAACAGTGGTAATCATGATTAGTTGAAGTATAGATAAGATCCATATTATTGCTTCCATTCCTATTAGTTTATTTCTCTGTGTCAGTGGTTTGATTTGTGTTCTTGTGACCCAGCAACCGTTTCTCAGGTTTATGAACATGCCTTGGCCCTGCAGAGGTCAACAGGAATTAATTCATTAGTAGTTTTATTACTTATAAAAGAAAGTAAAACTCACTGCTTTGTTCTTTTTTAAAAAAATCTAGTTATGTTCTGGGTTTGATTTAACAGTGATTTCTAAATTAGGTGACACTCATAGTATTAACTAGTTACTTATAATCTGTCAAATTAAATAATTGCTTTAAAGATTAAAAATTCAGTAGGACAGTTGAAGAAAATGAATCTCAAACACTTGCTCACAGTAACACAATAAAGCTAGGATTTGAACCTTAGTTAGTTGCCTCTGAAGCCCAGGCTTTTCTCTCTGACCACATTGCCTCATGAGCATCACAGATAAACGTCTTCTTTGTGTTAGTAGGAGTCTAGATTACTTATGGGTTTTTCCATCTCAGTGTTTGGACCAGGTAATTCTTTGTTGTGGGGACTGTCTGTGCATTGTTGTATGCTTAGCAGTATCCTTATCCTGTGTTCAGCAGATGCCAGTCTTGACAACCAAAATGGCTCCACTTATTGTAAACTATCTTCTGGGGGTAGGAAAATCATTCCAGATTCAGAATTACTAGACTAAATAATGTTCCAAGTAATAGTTATTCATCATAGCAAATTATTTTATATTATCTCTCATTTACTGATAAATGTTATCAACTGTACATATACAGTACAGTTGAAATTATATTTAATGTGTTATGATTGTTATGGATCAAATGGGAAAGATAACCTTGGTGTGGCACAGTTAGATGCATAGAAACTAACAGCATTTACGTAAAAAATTCCAACCAGCAGGGCCTTGAATACTATGAGTCTGTTAGTGTTACAGTCTCAGCTTTGCCCTGTTTGGTGGTTTTAACCAAATGATAAGGATGTAAAATGCATGCTGACAAAATTTGTCTGAAAAAGCTAGGAATTCTTTAGCATCCAAAAGGATTTCAACAGATTAGAGAAAATGGATTGACTCTCAGAAGACAAAATGTACAAGGAATAAAAGAAGGTCATACCCTTACATTTGAAAAATCAGCTGCATAAAGAAAAGTGGAAGAGATACCTTTGAAGCAATATAGGTTAAACATTATAACAGTAAACCTAGTGTGAGTTGACAATGTCACTTGAGTAACACGAAAACTAATAGCCAAAAAAAACTAATGGCCGTTCATTCTACTAGGTATGTGCTATTTTGAATAAGAATGGATTTCCTGAGAAGGTTTGTTAAAGCAATTCCACTCCTGTGTATATACCCATTAGAAATATATGTCCATGCATACTAAAACTGTTGCAGCATTATTCATAATGGACACTAAACTGGAAACTAAGTGTCCCATCAATAGTGTTCACGCAACAGAATACCTTAGGACAGGGAAAATGATCCTGTTACAACCATATGCAACAACACAGATGAAAGGTTCGCTTGTACTCATTGGATAGTTACCTAAACAGCCGATTTTGTGAGTATGTACAAATATGCACTATTAAAATTATATTTTTTAAGATGCAACTAAAGCAATGCTTAAAAGAATCTAATATATATTTTTATTCATACATATTTATGGGGTACAGTGTGTTATTTCAGTGCATTTATACAATGTGTAATGATTAGGTTAGGGTAATTAGCATAGCCATCATTCAAACGCTTGTGTGGGGACCATTCTGAATTCTCTCAATTAGCTATTTTGAGGTACACAACTGTTTGCAGTTAGTCACCCTACTGTGCTATAGAACATTAGAAGTTATTCCTCCCATCCAGCTGTGCCCATTAACCATCCTTCATCCATTCCCTACACTCTTCTCCCCTTTCCAGTGACTCCAGTAATCACTATTTTACTCTATTCTACTCTACACTATTCTACACTACTCTACTTCTGTGAAGTCAACTTTTTAAGCTTTCATTCATAAGTAGTAATATACAATGATTGTCTTTTTGTGTCTGACTTGTTTCACTTATACAATGTCCCCCAGGCTCATCCATGTTGCTGCAACTGACAGGACTGTATTCTTGCTTTGGCTGAGCAATATTCTATTGTGTATATGGAACCACATGTTTTTTGTCTGTTCATCTATCAATGGAACACCTAGGTTGATTCTGTATCATGGCAATTGTGAATAGTACTGCAATAAACATATGAGTACAGGTATCTCCACAACCTATTGATTTCCTTTCCTTTGGATATATACCCATAGTGGAATTGCTGGAACAGATCATGGTTCTGTTTCTAGTTTGAGGAAACTTGATACTGTTTTCCACAGGGACTGTACTAATTTTACATTCCCATCAACAGTGTATGAGAGTTCCCCTTTTCTCTGCATTCTTGCCAGCACTTATCTTTTTATCTTTTTGTTAATAGCCATTCTAACTGGGGTGAGGGAATATTTCATAGTGATTTCGATTTCTCTTTCTCTGATGTTTAGTGTAATTGAACATTCTTTCCTATACTTGCTAACCATTTATATATCTTCTTTTGAAATATATCTATTCAGGTATAGCTCATTTTTAAAAATGCATTTATTTGAATGGTAGAGTTAAAGATCTTCCATCTGTTGGTTCATTCCACAGCTGGACACAATGACAGGGGCTGGTTCAGGCCAAAGTCAGGAGCCTGAAACTCCATCTGGGTCTCCCATATTGGTGCCAGGGGCCCAAGCACTTGGGCCATCTTCCCCTACCTTCCCAGGTACATTAGCCAGGAGCTGGATCAGAACTGTATTAGTCAGGACTTGAACCAGTGTTCATATGGGATGCCAGCTTTGCAGACAACAGCTTAATCCACTTCGCCACAGTGCCAGCACCTATTTGCCCATGTTTTAATTGGATTTTTTTTTTTGGCTGTCAGGTTGAGTTCTTTATATATTCTAGATATAAATTCTGTCAAATGAATAGCTTGCAAATACTTTCTCCTGTTCTATAGGTTGTAATTTTACATTGGTAACTGTTTCCCTTGCATTGCAGAAGCTTTTTAGTTTGATATAATCCCATTTAGCAATTCTTGTGTTGTTTGCCTTACTTTTGGGGTCACATCCCAAGGAAATATTTGTCTAGATAAATGGTCTCAAGAATTTTCCATATGTATTCTTCAACTAGTTTCATAGTTTTAGATTTACACTTAAGACTTTGTTCTAAACATTTTGAATTGATTTTTGTGTATGCTGAGAGATAGGGGTCTAGTTTTCTGAATATGGATATCCAATTTACCCAGGATTACTAATTAGAGACTGTCCGTTCTTCATAGTATGTTCTTGTTGCCTTTGTTTAAAACGTGTTGGTTGAAGATCGTGTGGATTTATTTATTTATTATGTTCTGTTGCTCAGTGTGTCTGTTTTTATTTCAGTGCCATGCTCTTTTAGCTATTGCTTTGTAGTATGTTTTGAAATCAGGTACTGCTTTGGCTATTTGAGGTCTTTTGTGATTCCATAGAAATTTTAGGATTGTCTTTTCTCTTTCTGTTAAGAGTGTCGCTGGTATTTTGACAGGGATTGCATTGAATCAGTAGATTATTTTGTGTAGCATGGACATTTAAAAATATTAATTCTTCAAATCCATGACCATGGAATGACTTTACACTTTTTAGTGTCTTCTTCAATTTCTTTCATCAGTGTATTACAGTTTTTGTTGCATAGTTCTTTCACCTCCTTGTTTTAATTTATTCCTGGGGATTTTTGTAGTGTGTGTAGCTGTTGTAAAATGGAATTGCTTTCTTGATTTCGTTTCCATCTGATTTGTTACTGAGTGTAATGAAATGCTACTGATGGGGGCCAGTGCTGTAGCATAGTGGGTAAAGCTGCCACCTGCAGTGCTGGCATCCCATATGGGCACCGGTTCGAGTCCCAGCTGCTCCTCTTCCGATCCGGCTCTCTGCTATGACCTGGGAAAGCAGTAGAAGATGGCTAAGCCCTTGGGCCCCTGCACCTGTGTGGGAGACCCAGAGGAAGCTCCTGGCTTCTGGCTTTGGATTGGCGCAGCTCCAGCTGTTGTAGCAATCTGGGGAGTGAACCAGTGGATGAAAGACCTCTCTCTCTTTTTCTTTCTCTTCTTCCTCTCTTTATCTCTTTATCTCTCTGCCTCCCCTTCTCTTTCTGTGTAACTCTGACTTTCAAATAAATAAGTAAATCTTAAAAAAAAAGCCACTGATTCTTGGAAGCCAGTCTTATATTCTGCATTTTTAAACTGAATTATTTTTTTTTGTGTTCTTTTGTTTTTTTGTGTGCTGTTTGGTGGAGATTTTAGTTTTTCTATATTTATTATCATATCATCTGCAAACAGGGACAGTTCGCCTTCCTTCTTTCAAAAGTGGATGCCGTCGAGTCTCATGTTGTGACTCTGGGTTTAACTGCTTCCTGCAGTACTTGCATCGTATGTGAGCATCAGTTCGAATCCTGGCTGCTCCACTTCTAATCTAGCTCCCTGCTAATGTGCCTAGGAAGAGCATAAGATGGCCCAAGTGGTTGGGTGGCTGCCACCCATGTGGGAGAGCCAGATGGAGTTCTGAACTCCTGGCCTCAGTCTGGCCACGCGCCAGCCATTACAACTATTTCGGTTGTGAATATCTGTCCCTCTCATATATAACTCTACCATTCAAATGAAAAAATAATTTTTTTTTACATGGCGGCCTTCATTTCTTTCTTCCTGCTTAATTGCTCTACGTAGGATTCCCAGTAATGTGTTGAGTAAGAATGGTTAAAGGGGTTAATTGACCAGTCAGGAGCCTGTGGTTTAATTTCCATGTATTTGTATAATTTCCACAGTTCCTCTGGTTGATTACTATGTTTTTTTCCATTGTAGTCAGAAAAAATATAGGACTTTTATTTCTTGAGATCTGTTTTGTAACTAAAATTACATGTTTTTGATAAATACATTTCATTTATAACTAACACTGATGTTCTTCAAATTTTTAAATAGGATTTACTTGAATCCATTGTTTTAAGAATAAAGAAGGCAATAGAAGATGATGTTTTTATCCCTCTGTATCCAAAGAGGTAAGAAGGTGTTAAGTGTAGATTGTTTAAAACAAGTAATCAAGTAATATGGGCTTGTTTAAGAATGTAATGCAAAAGATGTTAGTGTAAGTGTTTTTCAAAATATGCATATACACATTTGTTATGATGCAAACAGATTACAACAAATACTGCTCAGTCATGTACTATACAAGAGGAATTCAAAAAGTTAGTGGAAGCCGGCGCCGTGGCTCAATAGGCTAATCCTCCACCTTGCGGCGCCGGCACACCGGGTTCTAGTCCCGGTTGGGGCGCCGGATTCTGTCCCGGTTGCCCCTCTTCCAGGCCAGCTCTCTGCTATGGCCAGGGAGTGCAGTGGAGGATGGCCCAGGTGTTTGGGCCCTGCACCCCATGGGAGACCAGGAAAAGCACCTGGATCCTGGCTCCTGCCATCGGATCAGCGCGGTGCGCTGGCTGCAGCGGCGGCCATTGGAGGGTGAACCAACGGCAAAGGAAGACCTTTCTCTCTCTGTCTCTCTCTCTCACTGTCCACTCTGCCTGTCAGAAAAAAAAAAAAAAAAAGTGGAAAATTCACATTACCTTTTATTTCTTTTTTCCATAAACTTTTTGAAGACTCCTCATCTGCCTTACATGATGCTTAGCACTTGTACATAACTTTTGTTATTGTTTACTTTAATGCATCCTAGGAAAAAGAGATGGGAATAGGTGATAAACAACACAGGTTCTGGGCCAGCATTAGGGCAAAGCAGGTAAAGCCACTGCCTACAATGTTGGCATTCCATATGGGCACTGGTTTGTGTACTAGCTGTTGTGCTTTCAATCCAGCTTCCTGTTAGTGGCCTGGGAAAAGCAGTGGGAGATGATCCAAGTGCCTGGGCCCTGCTACCCATGTGGGAGAGCTAGAAGAAGCTCTTGGCTTCTGACTTAGGCCTGGCCCAGTCACACCTTGTACGTCCATCTTAGGCAGTGAACCAGTGAGTGAAAGATACCTCTCTCTGTCTCTGTCTCTGTCTCTCCCTCGCTAACTCTGACTTGCAAACAAATAAATAAATCTTAAAAAAAAAAAAAAAAGTAAAAAGGGGGCCGGCATTGTGGTGTAGCAGGTAAAGCAGCCGCCTGCGGTGCCAGCATCCCATGTGGGTGCTGGTTCGAGTCCCAGATACTCCACTTCTGATCCAGCTCTCTGCTATGGCCTGGAAAAGCAGTGGAAGATGGCACAAGTCCTTGAGCCCCTGCTCCAGCATGGAAGACCCTAAAGAAGCTCCTGGCTCCTGGCTTTGTATTGGCACAGCTCACGGCTGTTGGCAGCCATCTGGGGAATGAACCAGCAGATGGAAGACCTCTCTCTTTCTCTGCCTCTGCCTCTCTCTAACTCTGCCTTTCAAATAAATAATCTTTAAAAAATTATATTAAAAAATGGGAAGTTCAAATAGAAAAATAGGATAAGTCCATCTTTGTGCAAAGTATTTTGAAATTCATGTCTAGTTTTTTATAATACATATTTTCCATGAACATTTTGCATATCACTCATATGCATGGATTTTTTTCACCAAAATAAGCGATTTTTTTTTTTTCATTAAAACATTTATTTCTTGAGAGACAGAATTCCCATCTTCTGGTTCACTTGCCAAATGCCTATTAGAGCTGAGGCTGAAACCAGGAGCTCTTTCCAGGTTTTCCTGCATGAGCCATCGTCTGCTGCCTCCCAGGGTGTGCATTAGCAGGAAGCTAGAAATGGGAGCTAGAGCCAAGACTTAAACCTAGTTACTCCTATATGGGATATGGCAGCCTTTTTTTTTTTTTTTTTTTTTAAGATTTGTTTATTTGGAAGGCAAATTTAGAGAGAGGCAGAGAGAGAGGTCTTCCATCTGCTTGTTCACTAACCAGATGACCACAACAGCCAATCCAAAGCCAGGAGCTTCTTCCCAGTCTCCCATGCCAGTGCAGAGGCCCAAGGACTTGGGCCATCTTCTATTGCTTTCCCAGGCTATAGCAGAGAGTTGGATCAGAAGTGGAGCACCTAGGACTTGAACCAGCACCCATATGGGATGCCGGCGCCACAGGCAGCAGTTTTACCCATTATGCCACAGCGCCGGCCCCCATAGGGATGTGGCAGTCTTAACCAGTGTCTTAATTACCATGCCAAATACCTGCCTTTCAGTTCCATTTTTCATGAACTTTTTAAAGTGTTCTTGTAGTTTACCTTATTTCTGCTTTTCTCTGCTTCAGTTGTTCTAAAATTAGTGCCTACCTCACTGGACTTCGGGAATATGAAGAGTGTGCTTAGAGCATTATAATGTCTAGCACTGAGAAATCACAGTATAAGGCCTGGAACACCACTAAGGAACCAAAAACTGCAACTTTGAATTCTGTGTTTACTTTAGATTATGAACCAAATAGGAAGGGTCTTCAGTGAGTTCACAGAAAATGCCTATTTAGAAAAAAACTATACATGGGTTTAAAAATGAACAGTTTTGTCCCAAAACAAATTTATGTTTTAATTCCATGTTTCCACATACTTCAATTTGTTTTTTCTATTTAAATTTATTGTCTTTTCATTTTGTTTTTTTATCTATTATATAATCTGAGCTGGGTCAGGTCGAAGCTGGTAGCCAGGAACTCGGTCCATGTCTCCTACAATGAGTGGCAGGGACCCAGCTACTTGAGCCATTACCTGCTGCTTCTCAGGGTGCACATTAGCAGGAAGCTGGAATCAAGAGCAGAGCTGGGTATTGAACCCAGACATTCCTGTATGGGACATGGGATTTTAACCAGTATCTCAACCACTCCCAAACACCCTCCCCTCCACAGACTTTTTGAAATACCCTTGTAGTATTTGATGCATTGCATGGTCATACATTTGCCAAGAAGGCTTCAGTTCTGGCAGTAATTCACGAGATGCAACTACTCAGTCAGCAATCAAAGTGTGGAAAAGCTTTATTGAGGGGAGAAAAGGAACCTCAGAGGTTTCTGTTATATTTTGACTCATAAAGAGATGTCTATGTGAAAAATTCTTCCCTGGGAAAGCTTGGTTTGTAACATTTCAGCTGAGTGGTACATTCACAGGGTTCAAAAGTATGGGTGTGATTTATTGATTCGTTTATTTAAAAGAAAAGTTGTCTTTGTTCCCACCCTGACCTCTGTCCATGCAGTCTGATATTTCCCCCTTTGTAAATAAATAAAAATCCACTAATGATCACTGGTAGGAATTCCTGTTTATCTTTCTAGAATTTTTCCTGCGAATATAAATAAGTATATATGCTATCATCTTATTTCCCTCTCCTTTCTATAGCAAAGAGTGTATATTGTAGGGCAGGTGTTTGTCCTATCAGTTAAGATATCTTCTTCCCAGATGGCAGTGTCTTGAGTTCTGTACCCAGAACTCTGGCTTTTGACTCCAGCTTCCTTCCATTGCAGATCCTGGGGTACAGCAGGTGATGGCTCAAGTAATTGGGTCCCTGTCATCCAGTCTAAGAAGACCTAGATTGAATTTCCAGTAGCTGCTACAGCTAGGCCCAGTCTAGGCCACTGCAGACATTTGGGGAGTCAGAGTAAACCAGTGGATGGGAGCTCTTGCACACTCACATGCATTCACTCTCTCAAGCTGCCTCTGTAATTTTAAACATGAATAAAATTTGTGGACAGTTACAACTAGTTTCAGACCTTCTTTCTCTTAGTACCTCTTTGAAATCTTTTCATGTCATCTTATCCTCTTTCCTTCATAAGCTGGGTGGTGTGTCATCATATAACTGCTGTTACTGATGAGTATGTGAAGGGTAAATGGTAACCAGCAACAATGTAGACATTGTTACAGACACATCATTCTGCACATGTGCAAATATGTCTGTGAGTAGCATTTTCTGAATGGGACTCTTGGGTCAGAATGTTCATTCATTTGTATAGATATCATCAAAACATCTGCATTTCTATTCCATTCAAATTTAGTTTGGATTGTTTAAAAAAGACCTGTTTTTTAATCTATGGTTCTGAAAAAATAACAATCCTTTGTATTTTCTCCCTTTGTATTTTGTGTCTAATTAGTGCTATTGAAAACAAGACTTCACCACATTCAAAGTTTCAAGAAAGACAGTTCTGGTCAGGTCTAAAGGTAAGCAAAAAATGTTAAAAATACAGGTTTTTATGTAATCTTCTTAAAAGTCTGGTTTATGATAGAAAGGAGAACAGCAGACTCCTGTAAAGACCAAACAGTATTTTAGGTTTTGTGGGCTACATATTCTCTATCAAAACTACAAAAACCTGCTACAGTAGTTCAAAAATATTCATAGATAGTATGTAAACAAATAAACATATTTGTGTTGCTATGTTACATAACTTGTGGACAATGTATATCATGTTATAAAATATGTCACTTTAAAATGTAAAAGCTATTTTTCACTCATGAACCCTACAAAAACAGGAAGCAGGCTGGATTTCACTCTCAATTCCTAATTGGTTAACCCCTGGTCTAAAAGATCAAGGTGAAGTCATTGCCAAGTTATTGGCAATAGGGATGGTAAAGAGAAAATGGGTTCAAAAGATATTTAAGATGGAGCATTGAAAGGACTTGGTAATTAATTACATGTGAGGAGTAAGTCATGGCCAAGTTTCTGACTCTGGCAGCCTGTTAGCTTGGGAAATTTTGGGAGGAACCTCTAGGAGATAGAGGAAGAAGGAAAAGTTTGGAAAGGAAGGTGAGATCTATTTTAGGCACGGCGAAGATATCCCTGGGACAGAAATTTAGGAGTATGGGAGGCAGTTCAGTGTGGGCGTCTCCTGAAATTCAGGAGAACGACTTGAACTGGAGTCAGCTACAATAGACAGGGTTTGGGGCTACGGTTATGAATGACAAGGTCTGAGGAGACTGGGTGAAACACAAGGAAAAGACTAAGGACAGGAATTTGGGAAATACCTGACAAAAGTGGAGCAGGGAAAGTGGTCCTCAAAGAAACCATAGAATGTCTTGTGAGTGGCCTCAGGGAAGCTAAACAAAAGGTTTCCAGCAATGAAGACAAACACTGAATGCCACCAAATACAGTTAAGGCAAGGACTAGAAATGTTTATGGATTTGACATCAGAAGGACATAGATGACTTCAAAAAGAATAGCTTTAATAAGGCGAATTAATGTTTGTCACGTGAGTAAGGGAGAAGACTCGAGGAAAGAGATCAACATCAATAATCATGTGAAAAGTAAAAAATTGACAAACTAGAAAAACTGTAGTCCAATACTCAGCAATAGCAAATATAATACGTCAGAAAGTTCATGGGAAATGCATAGTCTGAAAAAACTATGTATGGAGTTTACATTTTTTGTACCAAAATGCAAAAAAAAATATGCACTTTTTGAAATATCCTCATGTAGTACTGGGAATAAAGTAGAAAATGCCATCAAATTCACAGAAAACTGGATTTGGAGTAGAGAAAGACAACCAGTCTTTTATTTAACATAATATATTGTAAGTAATTATTTCCACAATCACAGATTATTGTTAATCTTACTTTAGATAGGATTCTCTCAATATTGGTAGATTTCTCAAGGACACACAGTAGTGATAATAGCAATGACTTTGACAGCCGTTCTTTATAAATCCTGGGATTCTTCAGTCTAGTAATCAATAGCCTAGGCTCTGAGAGAGAATCGATTAAAGAAGATTTTCATCTGGGAAGGCTGCAATATATGTTATTTGAGACAGATTTTGGATGTTATCCTAGGAAATGAAAATAAGATAAGCGAATTCATGGAGGTTGGAACATGTATTCAGAGATGTTTTCTGTTATAAAATTGACAACTCCTGCAGAGCTGTTTTGTTGAGTTTAAGAGTTTGACCATCTTTTTATGTTTGTTAGAAACTTAAAATTGTGCTTCCGAGAAAAGGTGTATGTTCACATGATACTGTATTTTAGCTCTTCCGCAATATTCTTCTTTGGAATGGACTCCTCCAGGATGACATCCTGCAAGAGCTAGGACTGGGGAAGCTGCTGAATCGCTACCTGGTTATAGCTCTTCTTAATGCTGTTCCTGGGCCAGAAGTTGTTACAAAATGCAACCAGGTAAGTTGTGTAGGAACTGAGTGTAATTTTACCATTTTGAAATTCACCTAGTAAAGTCTATTTTGTCACAAAGTAATTTAAATTGTGCTCACACAAGAGCAAGGGGCCTGGTGCTGTGGCGCAGTGGGTTAAAGCCCTGGCCTGAAACGTCAGCATCCCATATGGGCGCTAGTTCTAGTCGCAGCTGCTCCTCTTCCAATCCGGCTCTCTGCTATGGCCTGGGATAGCAGTAGAAGATGACCCAAGTTCGTGGGTCCCTCCACCCATGTGGAAGACCCAGAGGAAGCTCCTGGCTCCTGGCTTCGGATCGGCGCAGCTCTGGCCATTTTGGCCATCTGGGGAGAGAATCAGCATATGGAGGACCTCTCTCTCTGTCTCTGCCTCTCTCTGTAACTCTTACAAATAAAATAAATCTTAAAAAAATAAAATAAAATAAATTGTGCTCACATAAGAGCAAAACATCAGCTTAACAATTTAGGAATTAGGACACTGGTTTACAGTACTACTAATAAGGAAAAGAATGGAAAAATTACTTAATATATGATTATGGGACAACTGGCTGTTTACAAAAAGAATGGTAGATCCTTACTTCTCACTGCTTGAATATACCAATAACAATTTTAGGTGAAATAAAATATTAATGGTAAAAAGTAAAACTATAAAATATACTATGATAAATGACTACATCTGAGAATGAGAGCCCTTTGGAAAGCTTAAAGATGAGGGCAGGCATTTAGTCTGCTATTTAAGATACCCATGTAGGAGTCGGCACTGTGGCACAGCAAGTTAAAGCCCCTGCCTGCAGTGCCAGCATCCCACATGTGCATCACTTCAAGTCCCACCACTCCACTTCCGATCCAGCTCCCTGCTAATGAGCCAGGGAAAGCAGTGGAGGATGTCCCAAGTCCTTGGGCCCCTGCACCTTTGTGGGAGACCAGGAAGAAACTCCTGGCTCCTGGCTTTGGATCAGCTCAGCTCCAGCCATTGCGGCCATTTGAGGAGTGAACCTCAATGAGGAGTAGACCTCTCTGTGTCTACTTCTCTCTGTAACTCTATCTTTCAAATAAATAAAATAATCTTCAACAACAAAGAAAAAAAAAAAGATGACGATGTCCCATATCAGAGTTTGTGGGCTTGATACCCAGCTGTGGCTCCTGACTGCAGTTTCCTGCTGATGCAGTCCTGCGAGGCAGCAGTGACAGCTCAAGTGATTGGGTTCTTACCATATAGGAATCTTAGATTGAATTCCCAGCTCCCAACTTTGGTCCTGCCCAGTCCCAGCCATTGCATGCAACCAACAAATAATATCTCTTATCTCTCTCTCTTTTCTCTCTCTCTCCAAATTAAAAAAAAGGGGGGGGGCAAAAGAAATCATAAGAAGTAATAGATCTAACAAAAATATAGAACTCTAGTGGCTCCAACAACACAGGAAAGGTTTCCAGATGAATTGATCACTGATAAAATTGGGGTTTTGCTCATCTGGCTTACTATACTATTGTTTTTCTGATTTTGTGTTTGAAATAGTAGTAAAAATTAAACAGTGAATTGAGAAACTAGGAAATAAAAAACTTGTAACATCTAACAAGGATTAATGTTCACATTAAGTAAAAAAGCTCTTTACAAAATAGTCAACAGTTTGACTATTCTGATTAAAATGACCAAAGAGGGGCCAGCATTGTAGCACAGCAAATTAAGCTGTGGCCTGTGAGGCCAGCATCCCTTATGAGTACCCGTTCAAGCTCCAGTTGCTCCACTTCAGCCCAGCTCCCTGATGATACTATTTGGTGAGTGAACCAGTGGATAGCAGCTCTTGATCTCCTCTCCCCTACCCCCATGACTCCACCTTTTAAATAAATACATCTTTTTTAAATATATATGACCTTTGACAAAGGGAAAAAAATTACAAATGTTAAACCTTGAACTAATAGAATATATTCAACTTGCAGGATCACTGTAAGATTATGTTAATACAAATCCATAGATAAGTATTTATTATAAACCATGTGTCTTTCTTAACAGATAGTAGCTTCTCTGCCAGAAAAGTGGTTTGAAAATTCTGCCATGAGGACATCTATTCCCCAGCTAGAAAATTTCACTCAAGTTTTATTGCAGTCTGCACATAAGTTGTCTACAACCGAATTCAGGTAATACATATTTTATTGTTACTTCCATACTTGGGAGTTCAAGGATTTTGCATGCTCTCAGCGATTTTTAGATATATTTGTATTTATGCTGTACTTTTAAAAATCTTTTGAAGATTTTGTAATACGAAATATCTTGATAGATATTTTCATGGTTAGTATTGAAATGGCTCACTATTTTATAGTCACCCTTCATATATATTCATATTTTTAAATGTAAATCTCCTAAAATAAGCACTTCCAAAAAAACTGAAGCACAGGGAAATTTAGAATTAAGGCTGTAATCAAAAACTCCTTTAAGCAATTTAAAATGTGTTTTCAATTTTCTTGGTCATTTTAAAGATTGAGCACTTGTTCAGTACAGGTCTGCAGCCAGGTATTACCCAACAGTAGCTGAGTTTCTGTTCTGAGTATCTCATTCACTGCACAGGATGTTTGGGGCTTAACTACAGTAGTGTTCTGGTAAACTACTGCCCAAAAGATTTTTTTAACTCAGATTTTTATAGCATTTTTGATATCTGTGGTGTAAATAACTCTCATGATAATGGCCTATACAGGCTGAGAGCAACACAGCACTACCAAAATTTCTGCTGATAGATTTGCTCTGAGCTGTTCTACCTTTTACAGTCATTCACACTGACATTTGCCAAAATATATCCACTAATATTTATATTTCAACTTTATGTGGAAAATACAGCATCTCTATTTTATGTTATTTTCAAGTAAAACTTTAATTTTATAGATTAATGACTGATATGCAGTACAGGTATAGAATTTACCACTGTGTCCAAGACATTACACTTTTAAGGGGGAAAATGTTCTTTTGTTTTTCAGAGATGAAGTCAAAGAAATCATTCATATTCTGGTGAAAATAAAAGCTTTGAATCAAGCAGAATCTCTCATAGAAGAGTATCATCTAGACAGTATTAAATCACTAATTGAAGACATTTGAATAAATCTTATAAGAAAGTTCTAAAATGATATTTTAATACAGTCACACTCAGTTCCTTTGCTTGGGGAAAAAACAAAACCTAGTGCCTCTTAATTCCCTGCAGTGGAGGGTGGGCTCTGCAAGAAGGCAGTAAGTACCCCACGCCTCTGCTCCCTGGGCTCTGCCTGCTGCTGCCATGAAAGGCTGCCCTTCCTCACTCATTCGGTGGTGTTTGAATGAATTAAATGCACAGGAGCATAAAAGTTCAACATTTTTTTAAAATTCTTTTGACTTCTTTGCCAATTTAAGAAATGTAGAAACCTTGCTTGAAGCTGTTTTGGCAAAATGAGCATGTTGTCTGTCCTGAACACAAATATCTTTAAATACTTAAACCATCTATTTTAACTACTTTTTTTAATAATTAAGTTAATATGAGACTTTTTATTATTATTTTTTTTTTGACAGGTAGAGTTAGTGAGAGAGAGAGACAGAGAGAAAGGTCTTCCTTTTTCCGTTGGTTTACCCCCAAAGTGGCCGCTACGGCCAGCACGCTGTGGCCAGCACGTTGCGCCGATCCAAAGCCAGGAGCCAGGTGCTTCCTCTTGGTCTTCCATGCAGGTGCAGGGCCCAAGGACCTGGGCCATCCTCCACTGCACTCCCGGGCCACAGCAGAGAGCTGGACTGGAAGAGGAGCAACCGGGACAGAATCCAGTGCCCCAACCGGGACTAGAACCTGGGGTGCCAGCACCGCAGGCAGAGGATTAGCCTAGTGAGCCATGCGACCATTATGAAACTCTTAATTAGAATAAATTATTAAATATTAAATGGTTAAGGCATTGGGAGGCAGTTGGTAACTAATGATTGTCAAATTGTCTTTTAGAAATTATACCAATTTGTTGTACCAAACCAGATGTGAAGGGTACCAATGAATTCTACCAGTAATACATGTTACCATTTTGGTAATTCTTAACAAATTTGAGCCTTAAGAAGAATCTTATTTTAATTGCATAGAGAGTAACAATGTGTTGGTTTTGGCCATTTGTAATTCTTTTTGAAATAACCATTCCTTTTCTTATGAATATGTAAGACTTTTGTATTTTAAAAATACTGATCTTTGCCCTTCTTATGTTGGAAATAGTTTTTGTCATATGCCATTTCTCTTGATGTACTAAGTCATTACTTCATAGCAAGTCACTTTTGTTGCTGTCGTTGTTATGAGTGATAGGATTAAAAAGAAAACAGGCTGGCACTGTGGTGTAGTAGGCTAAGACTGCCTGTGGCACTGACATCCCATGTGGGCACCAGTTCTTGTCCTAACTGCCCCTCTGCTAATGGCCCAAGTGGAAGCAGTGGAAGATGGCCCAAGTGCTTGAGCCCCTGCACCCACGTGGGAAACCTGGAAGAAGCTCCTGGCTTCTAATCAGACCAGCCCTGGCCATTGGGGCCATCTGGGGAGTGAACCAGAGGGATGGAAGTCATCTCTGTCTGTCTCTCCCTCCCTCTCTCTAACTCTGCCTCTCAAGTAAATAAATAAATCTTAAAAAAAAAAAAAAAAGGAAACAGGTATCTTAGATACACAGAACGTGTGATTCACTTTCTGATGAAAAACATTTATCTAAGAAAGAGGCAAAATAATTAAAAATAATAATAAAATTTGTGGAGTTTGGTAGTAATTTTCTGTTTGTTCAGTAACTCAAGGGCAACCCTAACTATATATTTTGAAAATTGTTTCCCAAAAGATAATTGGAAAAAAAAGATGTTTATTTATAATTGAAGAATGTATATCACCCCTGCTTTTGAAGCTACATGTAATTTTAACCACTAGGTGTATTATATCTATTGTAGTGAATCTGAGTGATTTGCTAGTCTGAAGGATTTTTTAATAAAGTTTATATTACTTACACTAATTATGCAATAGAACATTGCCTAGGAATTCAAACCATTGCTGAAAAGCATTTAGCAGTCCTACTCAGCTACGGTCCTGAGGTACCTGCCTCCTTCTCTCTGCATGTTTGCAAAACCGTGTGTGTCTGTATGTGTACATATACATGAAGCTTTGTTTTTGAAATTATATGAACATGAAATTTGTAACTTTTTTTACTATTAAAGTGTGCATTTAGAAATTATCCTCTGACTTTTGGATTTAGTTAGATGTGTTTGATGTTTTCCCTTATGTTTTTAAAGTAAGGAGAGAGACTTTCTGTAGAGGAAAATATTAGAACTGTTTTCAAAACTGCAAATTGACATTTTAAAAGTACTCTGATGGTTTCACTTCAATTTCATTATGCCTGGAGTTAAAAGGTTTTTATCTGCCAGATAGCTATAATTTTTTTTAGATTTTAATGTATTTATTTAAGAGGTAGAGTTACAGACAGTGAGAGGGCGAGACAGAGAGGTCTTCCTTCCGTTGGTTTACTCCCCAGATGGCCGCAATGGCCAGAACTGCACTGATCCGAATCCAGGAGCCAGAAGCCTCTTCCTGGTCTCCCACGCGGGTGAAGGAGCCCAAACACTTGAACCATCTTCTACTGCTTTCCCAGGACATAGCAGAGGATTGGAAGAGGAACAGCCGGGACTAGAATCAGCGCCCATATGGGATGCCGGCACTGCAGGCGGAGGAGTAACCCACTGCGCCACAGTGCCGGCCCCCGATAGCTATAATTCAGAGAGGTTTTTGAAGTTAATTAACCCTCAGTTTCATTTTCTTTGTTCCTATTGCTATGAGATGGATGGAATAAAGGAGACATACACAAGTAGCAGGAACAAAACGCTGATTGGCAACTCATCTCACACCATAATGCTTTCCCTGGATATTTTTTTTTGTGCACATAAAGAAAAGAATGTCAAATTTTACAGAATCCAATGCATAACTTTAAATTGCAGCAAGCCACCTCAAAACAATTAATTTGTATAATTTTAGGCTCTTATCAAAATGATAACTTATGTAGATGATGCCTACGGAATACCATATGTGGTATAAAAACTGAAAAAGATAAGAACAATATCCCTTATTAACATATGAAATAAACATTCTTAAAATATTAGCAGTGGGTAAGAAAAGATGGTAATAATATATCTTGGCCAAATAGGTTTTATTCCAGGAAAGCAAAGACTGGAGGTTTCTTATGTTATAGGACTTTTATTGCTAAAATTGGAGAAGTCTTGGGAAAACCAAAACATGTTGGTTACTCTGTTGCCTTCATTCAACAGATTTCCTGGACATTCTGGATAACTGGCTTATTTGGAGCAAAATGATCTGCCTTGAATTTCACCTCTTAATCTGCTCTTTCTGTAGTAGACATTTTTTTTTTTAAAGATTTATTTATTTGAAAGAGGTACAGAGAGATCTTCCATCCACTGGATCGGCCTCTCACCCTACCTGCACCCATGAGGGAGACCCGGAAGAGGCTCCTGGCTCCTGGCTTCACATCGGTGCAACTCCAGCTGTTGCGGGCAATTGGTGAGTGAACCAGCTGATGGAAGACCTCTCTCTCTTTCCCTCTCTCCTTTCTGTGTAACTCTGACTTTCAAATCAATAAATAGATCTTTAAAAGGAAAAAAAAAAGACAAATGTAGGGTGGGTGTTTGATGCACTGATTAAGATACCATGTGGATGCCCACATCCCACATCAGAGTGCCTGGCCAGAGTCCTGGCTGTGCTCCCAATTCTAGCTTCCTGCTAATGCACACCCTGGGGGGCAGCAGGTAAGTGATTCCCTGCCACCTTCTTGTGGACCTGGGTGAGTTTTTGGCTGTAGGCATTTGGAGAGTGAACCACGGTGGAGAGACTGGGGAGGAATCTTTGTTTCTCTCTCCCTCTAAAATAAAATACATATTAAAAAAAAAAAAAGGTGCATACAATTATAAATTGGTTCTTGGGCACGAACAACAAACTCTGTGACATCAGCAACATAAAGGGAGGGGCAGGGCTTCATGGGAGTATTTTTTTTTTTTTTGAGAAATGCCAGCATAAAGCACTTTATCACAAAAATAAAACTTGTGGTGCTAAAGGGAAGGGAGCAGCAAGTTTGTCTCACCAAAGGAGTATGCAGGACAAAAGCGGTGAGGGGTTCAGGAGGAAGAGCTGGGAAACTTGGAGATGAGCAGAGGCAAGCATCAAAAACCAGGAGATACTAGAGCTGTGATCACCAGCTTTTTCTTTTTAAGTGTTTCTTTGAAAGGCAGAGTGACAGAGCAATAGGAGAGAGCTTTCATCTGATGGTTCACTCCCCAAATGCATTCAGGCATTTGGCCTAGACTAAAGCCAGGAGTCTCTAATATGAGTGGCAGGGACCCAAGTACTGGGCCCTCATTAGCTGCCTTCCCAGGGTGCTGCAGTAGGAACCTGGCCCTCTGATAGGGGATGCGGATGTCCCAAGTGACAGGTTAACCTGCTGGGCCACAATGCCCACCACCAGAATCTTAATAATTTTTCATGATGACTGGGCTTTAACTGGGTAAGTTAAAAATGGCATATTCAATTTAAACTTTCAATTCAAGACGCCAGTGCTGAACTAAAGTTCTTAACATGTAGGAAATAGTTTGGATAGTTACAAGATTATAAATGTCTGACGATCTATTAGAGAAATCACAGATGGGGTTGGGGGTGTGGGGAGATCTCTACTGGTCCAGGCACAGATACCTGTAGTGAAGATTGCAGTGAAAGTGATCTGCTTTCTAAAGGCAGAGGTAAAGGTTCTCCCCACCCCTAGTTCAGTTGGGCTTTTAATTTGACCCAGGGACATCCCTCACATTGGGGAACAATTCAGCTCTCAACAGTGTCTCAGATTTGCTTGGCTTTGCAGCACAGCAGCAAGAATGCTTACTATATAGTGGATCGAAATTTTATCCAAAAGCAAAACTTCCTGTAAACCCTCAACACCAACTCCTATTCTAAAGTTAACCCACCACTTGTACTGTTAATACGTAACCATATACTTAATCGGAAACCCAGATCCAGAAGGCAGAACCTGCATCTTCATCCCAAAATGAAAACAAAATGAATAACCTGAGGTTTATGGCATATCATTCAGATAAACATACACAAGGAGAAAGAGGAAGTGGAAGTGTCAGAAGCAAAGCTGAGTGATCAAACACATTTGGTTGAGGTAGTTACTCCTGGTGTGGTGGGACATCTGGAAAAGCTCCCTGTGGATTCATGTGCAAATACTGAGGCACCAGACCCTCCCTCCATGGCAGGGAGGAGGCCATTCCTGTCATTCCAGTTAGGGAAGCTCCAAGTGGAGAAGAGGACAGCGGCATGTGATGGGATGACACCACAGTTCCCACTTAGTCTCAGGAGGTGGAGGTTTGATTCTCTCACACATACTTGCCTAACATAAACTTGAAGGGATTTTTCTGCTCTGGCGAAATCCGATTTCTTTCCATCTTAAAGCGTCTCAGTGCACTGCACTAATACTGCACCACACCTCAGGAGGGTGCTCCTGGAAGGTCTCCTGAGAACATGGTCTTCACCTTCATGCCCGTGGCCAGTGCAGATGATGGACAAGTGGTGTGATGGGCACAGTGGACCAAACACAGACCTGCCAAGAGTTCTGCCAGGTGTAGATTTTCTATGCAATGGAAAGTAAGTGGGTATCAATAAGATGTCAAGGAATGTGCAAGGTAAACAAAGAAAAACATGTAACAAATTCACACAAAACAGAATGAGAAGTGAATCAGAAAAGGTGGTTCACTACAAACACACACACACGCACACACACAACTCACAAAAAAGAAGGAAAGTAAAGGAGAAAATGACGCACCAAAAAAGTATTACATGCAAAAAATAACAAACTGACAGAAATCCTTCCATATACTAATCGTATTTTAAATATAAATGAATTAAACTCTTGTGAAAAGGAAGAAATGGGCAGCATGAACAAAAAATAAAACCTAACATGATCCTATAGACACACCTGAAAGCCAAAGACACAAACCCATTCAAAGTCAAATGATGGAAAAAGATGTTCCATGCAGATAGTAACCAATAGAGCAGCAGGGGCTAAACTAATGTCAGAAAAATGAACTGTAAGCCAAAAACTTAATAGAGACAAAGGACATTCTGTATTGAGGAGGGTCAGTTAGTAAAGACAATACAATGGTTATAATCATGAATCCACCAGACTGCAAGATGAAATGAAGCAATTATTGGCAGAATTAAAGGGAGAAAAAGTTCTACAATAGTTAGAAACTTCAAAATTCCATTGTCAAAATGAATTGAATATTTAAACAGTAGGTCCATAATGAAGAGAGAACATTAGAAACTACTAACACTGTATCCAACAGTAGCACAATACGGTTTTCTCAGATGGACACGGACCATTCTCCAGGATGGCCACAAACCAATATTCAAAGACTGGGGCCAGTATTGTGGTACAACGGGCTAACCTGCTGCTTGCAATGCCGGCATCACGCACTGGATTGCTGGTTTGAGTTCCAACTACTCCATTTGCAATTCAGCTCCCTACTAATGACCTAGGAAAGCAGTGGAAGATGGCCTAAACACCAGAACCCCTGCCACCCGTGTGGGAGACCAGAATGAAGCTTTGGCTCCTGGCTTTGGCCTGACCTAGACCTGGCTGTGGGGCCATTTGGGGAGTCAACCAGCAATGGAAGATTTCCCTCTCTCGCTCGCTCGCTGGCTCTCTCTCACTTTGCATTACAGTAAGTAAATCTTAAAAAAAAATTTAAAAGACTGAAACCATACTATCTTTTTTTTTTTTTTAAGATTATTTATTTATTTATTTATTTGACAGGTAGAGTTAGACAGTGAGAGGGAGAGACAGAGAGAAAGGTCCTCCTTCCATTGGTTCACCCCCCAAATGGCTACTACGCCGATCCGAAGCCAGGAGCCAGGTGCTTCTCCTGGTCTCCCATGTGGGTGCAGGCGCCCAAGCACTTGGGCCATCCTCCACTGCCTTCCCAGGCCACAGCAGAGAGCTGGACTGGAAGAGGAGCAGCCGGGACTAGAACCCAGCACCCATATGGGATTCCGGCGCCACAGGCGGAGGATTAACCAAGTGAGCCACGGCACCGGCCCCATCCATACTATCTTCTTTGACCACAATAGAAAAAGATAACCAAAGTTAAACAGGAAAACTTTGCAAACACATGGATAGTAACACAACCAATCAGTATGACAAAGAAAGCACAAGGAAATGTAGAATATGACGATCTAGCAATCCCACCCAACGGTGTTGGCATGCACTGCATTACACACCAGAGCCAAAATGGTTGAAATGGAAAATGATATATATTTTATTATAGCAAAATTCTATACTATATACTACTCAGTGTGCTAACAGTTGCTTTATTTCTGGTGAGAAAACTCAAAATTTTACATAATAAAAAGCAGGACTAGTCAGCTGTTTTTGAGCACTTGCACTTATCAGCTGATTATATGTCTAGTTTTAGTTATTACCTATGTATCAAAGTTAAAAAAAGAACAGGCTTTCAATCGACTATCTCCTAACAATACAAAGAAAAATACAGGTAACAGGTTCTAGTTAAAATTTTATTTTGAGGTACGCGAACCAATTAGTGAATGCTGTCCATCAGTTACTGGTTGAGTAGTTACCGGCTGAGTAACAACCACCAGTGACAATGAGGGAGGATCCAGCTGAATGTTGCTTTGGCACAGACCCTCCCCTTCCAAGGAGACAGGCAGCCTTTCCTGTGGGTATTCACTAAGGGACTCTCCAAAAAAGCCCATCCAACCAACCCAAAAACAACTCCTCCCTAAAATCCCCAAGACTTGTAGACAGCCAAGGATTACCAGATGTCCTGGAAAACACAGAATCCAGAAAATAGTTCAGCATAGGGAAGATTCAACATAGCTGACACCAGAGGACAGACCTAAGCATGATTCAATTGGCAGGCATGCAGGGGGTTGCCTTCGTCAGAATCTGGGCTAGTATTGTATGTTTTAACCTGAGGAACAGCATACCAGGTGAGTCTGGCCCAAATTACATGACAGTCAGCCTTAACCATGAGTGGTTACATCCCAGCTTTCCAATCCATGCCCAACTGCACAGAGTGGCAAGGGCACTCCTATCACTTCATGGAAGTATTCTGTTTCAATCTACTAAGACCTTGAGTTTGATTCATTACACTCTGATAATCAGAACACACAGTTCACTCCCTGTGACCAGATTCGTGGTGGACATCGACATCACACAGTCTACACTATAACCCCGTGGTGAGCATTGTTTAACAGAACTCAATTGAGGCCAGCGCTGTGGTGTAGCAGGTGAAGCTGCCACCTGCACTGCTGGCATCCCATATGGGTGCCAGTTCATGTCGTGCCTATTCCATTTCCAATCCAGCTCTCTGCTATGGCCTGGGAAAGCAGTAGATGGCCCAAGTCCTTGGGCCCCTGCACCCACATGGGAGACCCCAAGGAAGCTCCTGGCTCCTGGCTTCAGATAGAAGCAGCTTCTCCCACTGCGGCCAGTTAGGAAGTGAACCAACAGATGGAAGACCTCTCTTTCTCTCTCTCTCTTCCCCCCTCTCTCTCTCCCTCTCTCCCTCTCTTCCTTTCTCTCTCTTTGTAACTCTTTCAAATAAATAAATAAATCTGAGAAAAAAAACAAACTCACTTAACAAACTTAGCCATCAACTCCCTCAAAAATAGCTTTCACAAACTCTCCGGGAAGCTGATGCCATACTGACTTAAGGGCTGTCATGTTAGCTTTGAAGCTTAACAGCAATACTGTCTTATTGTATTTACTATTAGGTTTTTCAAAGCCAAACACAATGTTTAAGAATACACACACACACACACACACACATAAGAAGAAATTAAATACATGCAAGGGAGATAAAGGAAAGTGTCCCCATCTGTAAGAAGGGACGGATACAACTGCAGACCAAGAGTTGCCTTCTTAGATCTTAGCAAATGTTCTGACACTGAGTGCATCTTGTTGTTCTTTAATCCACACCCTGCTCTTCTATGAGTTATTTCATGATTTGAAGACATCATCCCACCCGTTCCCCTTGCTCAGATTCCATACTCACTGAAGGGCCTTCTGGGGATACTTTGACTTCTATGGTAGCTTTGCCTTCAGTAAGGGAATGGAGAGTAGATCATGTGCTATAAATATTTCTCTTTTAGAGTAATAAACTGGTATGACAATTTTATTTTTCAAAAAATACTAATAAAATAATGAGTGTTCAGTTTATTTAATAACTATGTTCTTATAAATGAAGCTAAATTGGTCTCCAAATAAATCCTCTGAGAGTCAATATGTCTTGTGCAAGTAACTGAATCCATCCGCAGAATCAGGACTTTTTTGATGCTTCAATTTCATCCCATATTGCAGCTTTGATTTTCGAAGTATCATATTCCCTCATCATATCAAACTCAAGCCATGGTTGACTCCACTTCTGAGCTGCTTTCATTTGTTCTTTGGTTAAAGAAAGATCAAATTGGATTCCTTTAATATTAAAATTTGGACGCTCCCAGCGTTTCGACCAGGGTTTAGGCTTCATTTTTACTTGCAGCTAAGGATGATACAAAAAAGGAAAGAAAGAATAATTGGACTAACAGATAAGCAAAAATCCCCTTAAAGTTTTCATTAATGAAAGATAAATAGGATAAATCTTATTTCATACTTGAAGTTCAAGTTCCAAATGTGCAACCTATACCTTATTAACAGGAACTTCTTGACTAGGCTCTGGTGTTATTGGCTTCATATTCATGTCAAAAGTGCTATATTCAGGAAGAGCATCTCGTAAGTACAGCAAGCTATCATCCAGTCGCTTCTCTAATTTGATCACTTGGATCTCCTGGATTCGAGGATTATAAAGTTCAAAGCAAATCTCAACACCTTTAAAAAGAACAGAAAACATATTAACAAACTAAGCCCAGATGCCTGCATGTGTCACTCTTCCCAGTTAAAGATAGGAACTAGCACAAGGTTCGGCACATAGGAAGTGTTACATAAATTTGCAATTTTTAAAAAATTAAGGAAATAGAAATAAACCAAAATCCACTGAAATAAAAGTGAGTAAATATGAATCAGAATGCTAAAGCCAAAGGAAAAAAAAAGTCCATTTTATATTCTTCAATTCTGAAGAATTAGCTTACACATTAGCTTAGAGAATATCTGAGTAAATTCTTCACTATGTCACATTCCTGTTTATTTCCAAGTTACCTGAATAAAAACTAATCTTCCATGTTGAGTAATAGGAGTAATGATGAGATAGAGTAAGTAAAATTTTATGTTTGGGTTAGAAGCCCTGCTTAAAGACAGCCTAGGTTGTTTGTTTGTTTGTTTTTAATATACTAGGACCCTCCATGGGAAGGCAGGAACAGCTTTGAGCAATCAAGGTGCTGCGACAGGAACCAGTCTACTATATATCACCTGTATTATCAAACACTCAGAGCACACTCTGAAGTTTTCTGGGGTAAACTCAAGAGATGTATGACCAACATTAGCATCTAGTGTTTAATATCAAGACTCAATCCAGGGGCTGGTGCTGTGGTGCAGCAAGTTAAAGCCCTGGCCTGCAGCGCTGGTTCGAGTCTCGGCTGCTCCACTTCTGATTCAGCTCCCTCCTGGTGCGCCTGGGAAAGCAGCGGAAGATGGCCCAAATCCTTGGGCCCTTGCACCCACGTGGGAGACCCAGAAGGAGCTCCTGGCTTCAGCTCAGCTCCAGCCGTTGCAGCTATTTGGGGAGTGAACCAGCAGATGGAAGACCACCCTCTCTATCTCTACCTCTCTCTCTGTAACTGTGTCTTTCAAATAATCAAATAAATCTTTAAAAAAAAAAAAAGACTCAATCCATTATTTTACTATATACCTGTTCTATTCCAGGTATTGATCTAGGAGTTGTCCCTGCAGCAAAACCAGAACAGGAAAGATCTTTCTCCTCTCATAAAGCTTACATTCTAGTGGGTGACAAACACTAAGTAAACAAATCAACAAGGTGATTTCATATAGTGAAGAAAATACAGGGGGACAGCACTGTGACTAGGGAGAGGCAACTTTGAATAGAAGATGACATTTAAACTTATACTATAAAGGACCAAGATTGCTCCAAGCAGAAGAACAGCAAATGGAAGGGCCTTGGGTTGTTTACAGATTCGCTGTGTTGGAAAAACAAGAAAAAGAGCCAACTGGCCAGAGCCCAGTAACTTGGTGAGCCAGGTGCTATGGTTTCAATGTGTCCCATCCAAAACTCACAATGAAACTTATTCCACAATGTGGTGATGTTAGGAGGTGGGGCACTGAACCTTATAAAATGGCTTAGATAGACTAGCTTAGGTTCTTTGTGCCCTTCCTTCTTGGAAGCATGGAACAGGGCAGGGCCCTCACCAGACACCAAACCTGCGGAAAACTTGATCTTCGACTTCCCAGTCTCCAGAACTTTGAGAAATAAATCTGTGTTCTTGATAAATAATTTCTCAGTCTGGGTATTTTGTTACAGCAGCACAGGTGGGCTAAGATACCAGGAAGTAAACCAGAGACTGCACAACTATCAGCAGAAGATGATGACAAGAGTGGTACTAGCAATGGATAGGAAAAGGAGACAAAATTGGGACATATTTTTTGGAGACTGAGCCAAGAAAACTCAGTGATTCAATGTGTGAGAAAGAACAGCACCAAGGCTCTTGGTGTAAGTAAATGGGTGTACAGTGATAGCATTCATGGACATAGAAAAGACTATGCGAGGAAAGAAAAGAAATAAAGAACTCTGCTTTCAACTTGTTTTATGCTTTTAGAAGTCATCCAAATGGAGATTTTGAATGGGAGTTGTATATACAAATCTGGAACTTGGAAAGGGCCAGACCTGGAGATATCAATTTGGAAATCAGCTTCATAGCAGCAGTAATTGAAGCCACTAAAACAGGAAGTATGGAGGGAGAAGGTCAAGGCAGATCACAATGGTCAAACAGTAAGGAGAACAGCAAGGGGCAGCTAATACTTTTGGAGTAGTCTGGATGTGGTACTTCATACACAGTATCTCAAAGGTGATTAAACCCTGGGAGGCAGAAAGTATTCATATCTCTACTCTGAAGAAGAAAATCCTACCCAGATAGATCGACTCACACCTCTGCTCATTTCTTTCTATTTACAGACTCTCCAAGTACACGAACTGACTGAAAGCATCAATTTCTGTGATCAATCAAGTCCTGCTGAGTTCCTACATGCACAGCACAAGATTGCTACGAAACAAGCAAGACAGCAACCGCTCTCATAGTTTCAATTTCTTTGAACATAATAACACTTCACTGTTGGGAATTATGAAGCATAAAATCTTAAGCATGAAAATGTTACCCTACTCCTCTTGTTTTAATTCATAATCTTCCTAGAATTTTATCACTTGTTCCTCTGCCTTATTAGGCACAGTATGCAAATATGATTTTGCCTTTTTAATATGCCCCTGAGTCTTATTAAAACAGTGATAATTGTAGCAACTCTCTTATGTCATAATACAAAGCAGCTTCAAAAGTTCAAGGGAAACACATAGTGTGAGAAAACTATGTGTAGATTTCAAAATATTTTCCTGCAAAAATGAGCTTACCTTTTAATTCTAGTTTTCCATGAACTTTTTGAAGTAGCTTCATATAAACCAACATGGAGGCATTCATTTTTAGAAGTAAATCAGACAGACATCAGTTGTTTGTCTTAATGTCCTCATGGGTTATCTAATCCTAACGCAGCTTTAGAGGCGCTTGTTCCTTCTGCTGAAGATGCCATGGTTTGGGAAGTCTACTTTAATGGCTATTGTTCCTTTTCCTTTTCTAAGGTTTATTTATTTAGGGGCTGGCGCTGTGGCACAGAGGGCAACGCCAACATCCTGATTTGAGTTCTGGATGCTCGGCTTCATTCCCAATTCCCTACTAATGTGCCTAGGAAAGCAAATGAAGATGGCGCAAATTCCTGGTCCCCTGAACCCACACAGAGACCTGGATGGAGTTCCAGGCTCCTGGCTTCAGCCTGACCCAGCCCCAGCTGCCGTGGCCATTTGGGGAGTGAACCAGCAGATGGAAGATTTCTCTCTAGTGTCTCCCTCTCTCTCTGAAAGGCAGAGTGACACAGACAAGGAGACACAAAGAGAGAAGTCTTAAATGCACTGGTTCACTCCCCAGATGGCTGCAACAGCCAGGTTAAAGCGCGGAACTCTATCTGGAGCTCCTATGTGGGTGGCAGCAGCCCATGCTTGACCTGTCATCCTCTGCCGTTCCAGGCACCTGGGTCAGAAGCAGAGCAGTCAGGACTCCACCCACCACTCTGATGCGGGATGCAGCTCCACAAGCAGTGGCTTACCCCACTGCACCACAGTGCGGACCCCGTCCTGGTCCCATAACAAAAGGCGCCTTCCAGAGAAAGCAGACTACCCACAGTGTCTGAGCAGTACTGCAGTTCTAAGGTACATGCTGCCCATCTTCCCCAGAGCCCTCTTCCACTTTCAAGCTCCAGCTGTCTCATCCCAGGATGCAGAATCAAAAAGCAATGCCAACATAACACTTCCCAGACAACCAAAATTATGCAATGAAGCTCACCTTGTCCTTCAATAGTATTCCTCAGGATAAAAGTCGCTCCCAGGCCCTTTCCCGATCTCTGGATACAGATCCCCAGAAACTGGCTGCTTTTGCCTTTAGCGTATGGGTCAGCAGTGGTAACACGAAGTATGCTTCCTACAGATTCAGGAGAAGTGAATGTGGACGTGAGATGAAGACACAAGCAATATTTCTAGGTAACTAAACTTCCTCAATATTTTCATATAGTACTAGGAGTTAAGTGCCTCTCCCAGGCAAAACCCAGATATGTGAAAAACAATCTTCTCTATGCAAAGAAAACTAGCCCTTTCAGCACTAATAATAAAAGCATCCAGTTCTTCTTACTGACCAACATAGAACTCCGGAATGTGGAGTACTTTTCTCCTTTCTAGCATATCTTTCCTTTCCATTTGGAACTTCAGAGGATGTGTTCTTCCCCGTGGAGGAATGAATTCAGGACTCAAGAACCTGTGGAGAAAAAGAAAATTAAAAGCTAACTTAAAAGGGAACTCCAACAAAAAGTTAACTTTACAAAGAAATTAAAAATACGATATTGATGCTTTATTCTTATTAAAAATAAGGAAACTCAACTTTATCTCTAAAAGTGTTGTCAGGGCTCATGAAAATAGTTACCAGTTCCTAAGTACTAACTGGCATGTTATTAACAACTTCATTAAACAAGAGCTTAAATTAATCCTTGTAACCGACTGGGGTTGGTGTCACCATTTTCTTGTACAGTTGAAGAAACTGGAGCTTGGAAAAGGTAAGTAGTAATTGACCCACTATTACATTAGCTATAAATGCATCAAATCAAGATTCAAATGTAAGCATATCTTCTCAGCCTCCAAAGGCTATGATCATATCCACAGGACTCACATTGAGCTATACATGTTACAATAGATTATGTTGGTGGGGTCGGTGCTGTGGCATAGAAAGTAAAGACGCCAGCTGTAGTCCTGGCTGCTCCACTTCCGATCCAGCTCTCTGCTATGGTCTAGGAAAGCAGTAGAAGATGGCCCAAGTCCTTGGCTACTGCACTCGCGTGGGAGACCTGGAAGAAGCCCCTAGCTTCAGATCTGCCCACCTCTGGCCATTGTGGCCACTTGGGGAATGAACCAGCAGATGGTTCTGTCTCTCTCTGCCTCTGCCTCTCTGTAACTCTGCCTTTCAAATAAATAAATAAATATTTTTAAAAAGATTGTTAGAAAATATATAAACATATAAATAACCAATTGCTTTAAAAACAATTTTCACAGGGCCAGCAGTGTGGCTGTAGTAGGTTAAGCCTCCAGCTGGGACACGGGCATCCACAAGGGTGCCGGTTCAAGACCTGGCTGCTCCACTTCTGATCCCGCTCCATGCTAATGCACCTGGGAAAATAGCAGAAGATGGCCCAAGTGCTTGGGCCCCTCCACCTAAGTGGGAGACACGGATGAAGCTCCTGACTTTAGCCTGGCCCAGCCCCAGCTACCGCAGCCATTTGGGGAGTAAATCAGTGGATGGAGAATCTCTCTCTCTCCCCCTCCTTCTCTCTTTCTCTTTCTTTAACTCTGCCAAATAAATAAATAAATAAATAAAATCTACTATGGCCTGGGAAAGCAGTGGAAGATGGCCTAAGTCCTTGGGCCTCTGCACCCACGTGGGAGACCTGGAAGAAGCTCCTGGCTCCTGGCTTCAGATCGGTGCAACCTTGGCCATTGCAGCCATCTGGGAAGTGAACCAGCAGACGGAAGACCTCTCTCTCTCTCTGCCTCTCTGTAACTCTGCCTTTTGAATAAATAAATAAATAAATCTTTAAAAAATTTCAAAAAGATAAAATAAAAACAATCTTTCTATGTTCTTCTTTAACTGGTTTAAAACTGATTAAGTATTTAACTTACAGAAAAAGCATATATGCATTACAATGCATAGTCCTGTCACTACCACCCCTAAAATCAAGAAATAAATTACTGATGCCATAAACAAGAGTGTCAATTTGTTAAGTCAACAACAGGAGTCACTGTGCACTTACTCCTCATGTAGGATCTCTGTCCTTAATGTGCGGTACATTGAGATTTAATGCTATAACTAGTACTCAAACAGTATTGTTCACTTTGTGTTTCTATGTGGGTGCAAACTGTTGAAATCTTTACTTAATATATGCTAAACTGATCTTCTGTATATAAAGAGAATTGAAAATGAATCTTGATGTGAATGGAAGGGGAGAGGGCGTGGGAAATGGGAAGGTTGCAGGTGGGAGGGAAGTTATGGGGAGGGGGAAGCCACTGTAATCCATAAGCTGTACTTTGGAAATTTATATTCATTAAATAAAAGTTTTTTAAAAAAAAAAAAGAAAGAAATTATCACCATAGGTGAAGTCCCTGTACATTGCTCCCTACTTCCTACAGTTAATCACTATTCTAAATTTGGTGACTGGGGTTGCAATTGTGGTGTGGCGAGTAAAGCCACTGCAGGCAATGCTGGCATCCCACGTGGGCACTCATTTGGGTCCTGGCTGCTCCATTTCTGATCCAGCTCCTTGCTAATGCACTTCAGAAGGCGGCAGAGGATGGCCCAAGTCCTTGGGCCCCTGCACCCATGTGGGAGACCCAGAAGACACTCCTGGATCCTTTCTTTGGATCGGCAAAGCTCCAGCTGTTGCAGCCATCTGGGGAGTGAACCATCAGATGGAAGACCACTCTCTCTCTCTGCCTCTCCTCTGTGTAATGCTGACTTTCAAAGAAATAAATAAATCTTAAAAAAAAAAAAAAAAGGAATACAGCAGTTCTCCCCATACCGGCCCTCCCACCCCAACTCCTGTCCCACCTTCTACTCCCTCTCCCATCCCATACTTCATTAAGATTTATTTTTAATTATCTTTATATACAGAAGATCAACTCTATACTAAGTAAAGATTTTAAGTTTGCACCCACAAAGACACACAAATTATAAAGTACTGCTGCTTTCCCAGGCCATAGCAGAGAGCTAGATCAGAAGTGGAGCAGCTGGGACTCAAACATGCGCCCATATGGGATGCCCATACTGAAGGCAGCAGCTTTACCCGCTATGCCACAGTGCTGGCTCCAACTTTTTTAAACAGTCAAGGCCCTATTATCTCATAGACTGTCAGTGGATTCGGGATTTATTGTTTCACACACCTAGGCTGAGGTTAAATATTTTTAGTGAGAATATGTGATGATGTCACATCAAGAACAGCCTAGTAGTCAAGTTTGATTCGCGAAAGCAGAGAATGTTCCCCTTACATCTTGATACTTTACAAACGCATACATATTTTGACAATATATCATACTGTTTAGTAAGGTTTTAGATTCATGAAAATGGTATCCTACCATATCAACTCTTTTGAAGATTGCTTTTTACAAATTTGAAATCCACCCATGTTTAAAGGTTAGCTCTAGTTCATTCATTTTCACTGCCATATAATATTCTATTATTATATTTGCCTGTTCACCTACTGATGGGCATCTAGGCCACCTCTAAACTTTTGTCACAAACAATATTCTTCTGGTCAGTGTTGCCCATGTCTCCTTGTACATGTGTATTAACCCTTCAAGCTGTGTACCTTCTGGTGAAGAGCTATGCACAACTTCAAATGTACTACATTATGTACCACATTCGGCCAAAGTGCTTTCCAGAGCACAAGTCTTATATTTCTATTTAACTGAACTTAAGCATTGCCTTTGAACATATATTTGTTTTCCATTTAAAAAACAACATACAATCAGGAAATCTTGGGGCTGTAGCCACGCTGTAGCGTGGCAGGTAAAGCCACCGCCTGCAGTGCGGCATCCCATATGGGCGCCATTTCGAGTCCCGGCTGCTCCACTTCTGATCCAGTTTCTGCTATGGCCTGGGGAAGCAGTAGAAGATGGCCCAAGTCCTTGGGTCCCTGCACCCGCGTGGGAGACCTGGAAGAAGCTCCTGGCTCCTGGCTTCGGATCGGTGCAGCTCCGGCTGTTGCAGCCAATTGGGGAGTGAACCATCGAATGGAAGACCTCTCTCTCTCTCTCTCTCTCTCTGCCTCCCCTCTCTCTGTGTAACTCTGACTTTCAAATACATAAATAAATCTTAAAAAATAATAAGAAAATCTTTTCTGATTCCTAGGTTCCCTAACATACAAGTTTGTTTCAGTTGAGAATCAGAGAATATTTACATGTTATCAAAAAAAAAAAAAAAAAAAAACCCTCAGAGATAATCCAATCAATAACCTCCTGCCCGTTGAGGAAGCTGCAAGGACAAGTTTTTCCTCCTAAAATGGGCCTCTGAAAACGTCCACAGCTCTACAGGCACTTTCATCAGGTCAGCCAAATGTCCCGGTTCCCTCCCAGGTTCCCAGCATTCATTTCAGGGATCTCATTGGAAGGGGAAATTTCAGACACCGACTAGCGGAGATTTTTACCACTGCACCACCTTCTGCCAGGCATTCCTGCCTAAAACACGGCGAGTTTTGCCAAGTGATTGCCACCGACGGTTAAGCGTCTTCCGAGAGAACAGATCTGACCGTAAACAGCTACTGGAGAAGCCTCAAGGAGAAAAAAAGAAAAAAAAAAAAAAAAAAAAAAAAAAAAAAAAAAAAAAACTCTGGAACGGGACAAGGGCTTCAAAACGCGGGAATCCCTGCCTGAAGTTCGAATTGAACAATCTGCACGCCCACGTGCACTGTCCAGGCAAGCGAGCCGCCGCCGCGGCCCGGCCTCACCTCCTCTCCTGGTCCAGGGATCGGCGCTTGTCCACGATGACCGGTTTCGGCGGCGGCTGGAACGCGCGGGGCTCGGAAGGCCCACTGCTCTGCAGACGGCCAGGCTCCGTGTGGACCCCTGCGGAAACAGGCGACTGAAGTCAGGACTCCAGAGCTGCCCTGAGATCCCGCGGAGCGCCGCAGTTCACCCCAATCCGCGGCTCCATGGGGAATCCATGCCCGGGTCGATCGTTACCTCGGGGCGCGCCTTCCCCCAACCTGGCCCTGAGCAGCCCCCGCTCCCCGCCTCGCAAGTCCCGTTCCACTTACGACAGGCGACGGAAGCCGGCGCAGCGAGCAACGCCCTGGCAGCGCGGAAGCTCCGGGTCAGGCCCATGGAGGACCCACAGCCCCCTGCAAGGCAGGCCGCCATGTCTGCTGCCTCAGGTCAGGACTACAACTCCCAGACTCCAGTGCGACGAGGTCTGGCTACCTGAGGGCGGATGGCGGCTGCTATGGGACAAAATGGACAATTTTTTTTATTATTATTTCCCCCTTATGTCTTTCTACCACATCTTGCTTAGGACGCCTCAGAAGGAATGCATATTTCTCTAACTCCCCCTTAAGGTACTAATTTACACGCCTCCCCAGCCTAGAAAGCTGTATCCTCCCTCTGAAATTAATATTTTGTAGGCAAATCTTCTGTACTTGGGCTCTCATTCCTACTAGGTGTATTCCATTTGCAGCTCTGATCTCATTTGCAGTGTCTCCATACTTGTGTAGTTACTGGATTAGTATTTAACTCTGCCATTGTAGCATCAGCTCCATGAGGAAATGGATACAGGCTTTTGCTCACTGTGTTATGCTAGTACCTAATTAGTACTCATCTGGTCCTACCTAGTTCTGCTGGGTGCACAGAAAGGAGGAGAAAACAGCTTGTGACATAATAGCCGCCTCAAAGTCCCAGGGACCACAGGCAGCATTGCGCCTTGAAGAAATGAGCTGAGTTTGGACCTCGCATCATTGGTGGCATAGGGAGAAGAGGTGAAGTTGGATAGGGGAAATTGTAAGTCTTGTTGAGAAACTTGGAAGTTACACTGTCAGCAATGGTGAACTGCAAGGAGTTAACACGTAGTGTAATGTGATTATCTGACTACTTGTTAGTTAACCCAATTGAATGGTACAGTGCTGTACTGAATGTACCCTGCCCCCTTTCAAACTCCTCCTCCATATTGGCTATCTCAAGGAAGGACTTCAACACCCATTTTTTCCCCTAAACCAGAAACCTCAGTGCTGTCTTGATTCCTCCCTGTCTCTCCATGGTGAAATTTCTGAAACTGGCACCATCAAGTATCTCAGGAGTCTCTGTATTACTTTCTCCTTTCCCATCCACATCTCTAATCCGGGTGATCATCCCTTCTCTGGATCACTGGAAATCACTGGGATCGTCCTCTCACTGGTCTTCCTGTGTCTACTTACCTCCAGGTCTGCTCCACCTGGCAGCCAAAGAGGATGGCTCAAAAACACATTCCACACCTTCCTCTTCCCCCCGTTTAAAGTCTTCCAAAGTTTCCTGTTGACTTTAGTCTAAAAAGGAAATTGCATTCTCAAAACCTCAACCACCTATGCAGCCCACCCCACATACTCTAGCTTGCTATCCTCAGGGTAAAGGGGTTACATTAGCCTAACAAGAGGGCAAAGCACTGTGTGGAAAGGCAGAGCCTTCTGTTTAAAGTTCATCTTCCTTGACTACACCAAGAATTGATCCTTATAAATAGCAATGAATCACATAGCTCAAGTTTCAGATTAGCAAAATTTTGGCTCTTCTGCCAATTCAAAAAGTAGACTCCAAACTCATAAAGAAGAGTAAAATGGAAGACAAAGATTATTGTGATTGTAGTGGTGAGGATAGTTTATTATTAATATGCTCAGAACTGCTTAAACTTTATTCTTCCTTGAACTGGTTTCCCATGGGTAGGAGAAGAAAAATAAAAGACAGACTTTCATGGGAGGAAGGCAGGATTTACTGGTCATTTCCAAGGTATTCCTGTTGCTCCAGCCTTCTAAGGAGTAAGGAATGGTTTGTAGAGTTTTACAAAACTGAAAGAATAAGCTTAAAGAATCTTGTTTCATTTTCTCCCATATTCCTCCACAGCCAGCATCCACCAGGCCTCCCTGACTTTATCTTAGTTGAAGAACAGGCTGCAGTTTCAATTTTACTAAACAACTTCATGGAGCACAATGAAAGAGCACGGCGTGGGTGAGCTGATTACCGGCAACCTCAAGATTCCTGTCTTGCTTGCTCACCATGGCACCCTTTATGCCAGTTCTCATGTGACCTTGTGAGTTCTTGAAAGAGAAAGTTATTTCTCTATGTTATTTCTCTATGTCTTGAAAGAGAAAGTTATTTCACTATGTTCCTAAATCTGTATCTATGAAATACATGAAACTTGTATAACTTAAATAAATTTTTAAAAAAATGCTCCATTGGACCAGATATTTCCCTCTGCTTCCTGGCTCGCCATGTGATCCCTTGTCCCATGTGGTCCACTGCCCACGCAGAGGCCAAGCATGTCTGCCCACCTGATCTTGGACCTGAACTCCAAAACTGTGAGCTAAGCAACTCTTTTACCTTTATAAGGTTAGTTGCCTCAGGTGTCTTGTTGTAGTAAAGAAAAACTAATTAATACATAAGCATAGTTCAGTTTTACAAAGGAAGAGTAATAGATTTTGTTTTCAAAACATGACAGCATGGGTGTTTGGAGTAGCAGGTGTTTAAATGCTTAAGGTGCTGCTTAGGATACCTGGCTGCCACACTGGAGTACCTGGGTCTGAGTCCCAGTTCCATTTCCACCTCCACCTTCCTGCCAATGTGCACCCTGTTGGGTAGCAAGGATGGATCAAGCACTTGGATCGCTGCAACCCACGTGGGAGACCTGGATTGATTTCCAGGCTCTTGACATCAGCCTGGCTCAGCCCTGGTTTTCGCATGCATCTGGAAAGTGAACCAGGCGATGGGAGATCAATTTCTGTCTCTATCTCTCTCCTGAAAATAATAGTAAATCTATGAGTGCATAAACTGTGCCAGTTCTTAGTTCCTTTTTGCATTTTTTCTTCAAAATAAAAAGCTGCAGTGGTCTCGTATTGAGCTTAATAGCAACAATGACAGAAAATGGTGAGACTAATTCACAGGAAACAGTTACAATAATCTATTCATAATGGCTAGGAGATAATGTAATCTGTTTTATAGGGGTTTTCGCCCAAATGGCTGCAAGGGGAAAAAAAAAGACAATTTTCAGCTCTCTGGAAAATATTACCTCAGGGCTCTGAGACGCAGAGTTCCACAGCGTCCATGGTTAGGCTGCCCTCTGGTGGATACAGCATACATTGCAAGGCTGACTTTTCCAGTTCTCTCAGAGTGCGTTTTCTCTAATTGAGCCTTTGGTGCTCTATGCAAACACCCCAGAAGAAAAACTAGAGAAGAAACCTTGGAGCCTAATAATAAGATTCTGATATCCCATGCAGTTTTTTGCTCTGTAACTATATTCTTACCAAACTGCACAAAATTCTCAGTGAAGCCTTATCACAAAGTACTGAGCTGTAGGCCGGCACTGCGGTTCACTAGGCTAATCTTCCGCCTTGCGGCGCTGGGACACCGGGTTCTAGTCCTGGTCAGGGTGCTGGATTCTGTCCCGGTTGCCCTTCTTCCAGGCCAGCTCTCTGCTGTGGCCCGGGAAGGCAGTGGAGGATGGCCCAAGTACTTGGGCCCTGCACCCGCATGGGAGACCAGGTTAAGTACCTGGCTCCTGCCTTCGGATCAGCGCAGTGTGCCGGCGGCAGCCATTGGAGGGTGAACCAATGGCAAAAGGAAGACCTTTCTCTCTCTCTCTCTCTCTCTCTCACTGTCCACTCTGTCAAAAAAAAAAAAAAAGTACTGAGCTGTATTAACCTGAAAGGATGAGAAAATCAAGGTTTACAGGAAAGCCACACCTTGTCAAAGGTCACGCCTTATCTATGTTGGGTATTCCACAAGTCTAGAAGATAAACAATGCACTTACTATGAAATAGGGAAGCTATTACAATCTAGAGCGATGAGCTGGACGGGGGAAGGCAGCTATGCCCAGACTGAGGGAAAGTTTCCTAGAAGAAAGAAGAATTGAACTGAGCCTTGCAGATATAAGGTACATCCCACTCTCCATCTCCCACGCACAGATGCACATACAGGAGTCTCCAGTTACGGGATACTGTAGATGCAGAACACCAGGTTCCACCTCTGCCAGTTCTGGAGACTTCCTTATATTGGACAAGAAGTTTTCTGCAGCGCTGAAGATATCTACTTTGAGCAATGTATGTCTACTTAAAGACCACGGGCAAATATTTAAAATGCATCGCAGAGATCTGTATCACAAAGAACAAATCTTTGTGGTCCTCCCTTAGGTTGTTCCTCCTCCCAGTTCCCCATCTCAGGAGCCAGCAAACCGAATGCCCTGACCACCTTCCCCACTGAAGTTCTCAATTTTTCCCGTCTCTCATTTTCAACCCATTTGGAGAAAATAAGAGAGTTTTTTCGGTGGTGTGTTTGCCTCCTCCACTAGACTTTGACTGTGAAGTCAGGAACCAGGCTTGTCTTGTTTGTTTGCATTTTACCTGAGCCAATGGAGGTGGGAGGTGAGCTGGCTCCAGCACTCGGAGAGGAGCGGCAGTCCTAAGGCGTGTGAGCTTCCCCAGGAGGGCACTAGGGAGCGGGCAGAGCATTTTTTGAAAGGAGAGGCGAGATCAGGCTGTGCCTCTGGACATTCGTTGTCCTGGAGAGCAGAGAGTGAGTTTCGGGAGAGGATTCGAGAGAGCAGGCACCTGCAAGGGGAATCAGAAAAGCCAGTAAAGTGGATCCTGAGGGCCAAGAATCAACAGCTCCAGGTGATTGACAGGCTGTGAGGGTAGCCTCTGGATTGCTTCCTGGGAATCTGGGGGATGGTGTCGTTTCAGCTGCGGTAGGGGATGGGATGAGGAGGGGGAACAGGTTGAGTGTGCTTTGGAAGCGTTGAGCTTAGAATACATTTCTCCACATGCGAGCAAAGAAGGTCGTGAGAGCTGGAAAGGAGAAGTCCAGGACTCAGGAGCCAGGCCTGGGCAAGAGCAGCAGCACCTGGAGCCGTGGGGATGAGACTACTCAAGAGGGCCCCGGTGGGAGACAGGAAGGGGCCCAGGACAGAACTCTGAACGTGTGCATGAGACAAGCCGTCAAGGATACAGAGAAGAAGAAGGCAGAGCGAGAAAGAGGGGAAGGGTTCTGGAAGTATCGGTGAGCTACCGAACCCGAGGAGGTGCCGGACAGCTTGTAGACAGGGCCAGAGGCCCTGAGATGTGCAGCCAGATGCAACTGAACACTGGCCTGTGGACAGAGTTCCGCAGACTTGAACATGACATTAGTGGGAATTGTTTGGTATGTTTTGGTACTGCTGGTGCTTACATATTTATTTATCTTGACTTTTT